TCTATTATATTATTACCGTGCTGAATGTTAATATCAATGCTAGGAGTACGCTGTCTAAAATGTATAGCTTTCGTTTTAGTCAAATTAATTTTTAAATTATTAGAGTCTAACCAGTTCACAATTTGTTCTAAACTATTATTAATGTCACTTCTATATGTTTCTATATTTTCACAAGGTATTGTTATTGTGCTATCGTCTGCAAACAATGTTACTGGTTGTTTAATACATTTCGGTAAGTCATTTATGTACAAAATAAATATGAAAGGGCCTAATACGCTCCCCTGCGGTACTCCAAATAAAACTTCACGTTCGGTGGACCTAAATATTTCTTCACGTTTATTAGTTATGTTGATTTTATTGATTTCAGTTTTTTGTATTCTATTTTTTAGGTAAGATTCGAGAAGATTTAGTACGTTGCCTCTAATGCCATAGGCTTCCAATTTTGTTATTAAGGTGGGATAGTGTACATAATCGAACGCCTGGGTCATATCACAAAATATGCTACACACGGGATTTCGTTTGTCAACATTACTAAGGACATTGTATAGAAAGTCGTATATGGCCATATTAATTGTTTTATGTATTCGGAAGCCCTTTTGTTCTTCGCATAGTATATTAAACTTTTCTATGAATTTATAGAGTTCATTATAGATGTATTTTTCGAATACTTTAGATAAAACGGGTATTAATGAAATAGGTCTATAATTTTCCATTTGTTCTCTATTTTCTTTTTTAAAGAGTGGTTTTACAATTGATATTTTAAGGGCGTCTGGATAGATACCCGTGCTGATTGAAAGATTTAGTATATAACTTAGGTGACTGCATATTTCCATTGATACACTTTTAAGTACATGGGTGGTAATGCAATCATACCCTACACTATTCGTATTTTTCAATGACATTATTATTTTATGAATGTCTTGTGGTACACTGGGAGCCATGAACATTGATTTACTATTTGTGTTAATTTTACAATATTTTGGTTTGCAATTAACCCGAAGCTTTCCCTGTACTTTATCAATGAAGAAGTTGTTGAACCCTTCAGCTATTTCATTGGGATCTGTCAGTGTACGGCTTTTTAGTTTAATTTTATTGATATTAGATTTAGGTAGATTAAATTTTGCACGGTTGATTATTTGCCAAGTAGTTTTAGATTTATTTTTAGATGATTTTATTTTATGATTGTTTTGTGCTTTTTGTGTTAAATGTATAATTTTGAGAATTGAAGAATAGAGAATTTTGTGTAACCTTACTCACACACGACGAAACACAACGCTAGCGTTATTTCACGTTAGCACTCTACGAGGCCATGGTATTACTCCTCATTCATGCGAACCAGTGTTCTTTACCTCCGGGAAAACATACCAAAATAACCAACTCATTATTTAAAAATCTGGTAAACCACAACACAATATTTTTATTGTGGTTTAGAAAAACGAAACACGCAAAAAACGTTGAGATCACATTACAATAGTAGGATAGGTAAATAATATTATTTATTTATATACAAAACTTGTTATGTGTACATTCAATATTAGTTATAAGGTTCCGCAGGTTATTTTAAAAAGATATTCAAACCGCCATCATTATTAGCCTGTGTAACAGTTAGGTGTGGGAGAGCTTCGGGACGAATAAGTCGACCCGACCCGAATGATACCACGGCCTCACAGAAAGCTGGCATGAAAAGACCACGGCGTTGTGTTACGCCATGTGAGTGAGGTTATCGGAGGCCCAACCCTTCCCCAATCCTAAATCTTCGGATTCCTGATCCCAAAAGACGGCAACGCACTCGAAACTGGTATTAGGGGTGTCCATTTCTGCCAAAGCATGGCTCTCCAACAACTCGTGTACTTTTCCAAAAACACAAAAAAACTTATAGTTACTTTCAATAGGGATGACGAAAAAAAATAATAATTAGTCCATCTTTTAGAACGCCAGAAAATAGTAGATACGTATTTTTTCTTTTGCTTCTAAAACTTAAAATAACAAAGTAACAGAGCGGCGAAAGTTCGCGCTACGTCATTATTTCGTTAAATTTTTACGAAAGAGTGACGTCACGAGCCCCGTCTTCTGAATTTGAATGTGCTGTATCTTTGTCAATATTATTCGTGTGGACGAATAAAAAAATACGTATCGAGTATTTTTCTACAATCTAACTGACGGACTAATAAGAATCTTGTTGTTTTAACCCAGGAGACATCACTAATTATACGACTTCAAAGGTTCCAACATAACTCTAACGGAACCCCAAACTCCAAGCATTGAGCTTGACCGATATTTCTTGCTTTAACTTTTTACAATCACTTTTTTTTAATCAATATGCCTTTAGATTCACGGTCAGTTACATAATGGTTGGTCTGTTGACCTGCGGGTATGCCGTTTGAGGCCGTTTCATTGTTCTCCGTTGTTATTCTCGGAAATGTGACATTAAATATGAATTTTTCATGTAATTATTTCTCTTTGTCACGCTGTCTGTTTAGCTTGAGAAGGTGGTTAGATATTTTCCCATCTTTAAAGAATTAGATTGCAACCTCTTGTTGCTAGGCAACAGACTTGAAATCGGTTTTTGTGATGGGACCCCAAACAAGCTGTAGGATAACCTGATGGTAAGCAATCAGCGCCGCCCATGGATTCAACAACGAAAGAGTTACGAGTGCGTTGCCGAATTTTTGAAAGACCTGACTCACACGGCGAAACACAAACCTGGTTGTTTCACGGCGGTTTTCAGTGAGGCCGTGGTATCACTCCGGTCGAGCTGACCTATTCGTGCCGAAGCATGGTTCTACCAAACTCAAAACTTATTTCATAATATTAGAAAAATATTCATTATTATGTTGTAAAAGTTACTAATTGATTTTTGATTTTTATTGCTTTTTAATTAACAACCGTTTACCCCCTACAACGATTGGTATAATAATAATAATTATTATAGTAATACTATTATTTGTTTATCGACCAATCTCGCTACATATCTCCTTAATTACTTTTAACATTAAAAAGTCATTCTATATTATTTCGCCATAATATATTTTGTTTATGTTTTTATTCCGTGGGGTGAAAATTATTCAATAATTTCTCTCGTCCTTGGTGAGGTGAGAGAAAGCGTCAGACTCTTACTGACTAAAATCAAGGCCGCGGTGGCTTATTGTGCTTGATCCACAATCCTGGCTGAACAATACATCGAATCCCTGTGGTGGTCTATTGGCTCTTATACTTTTGTTAAGTTCTAAAAATAATAGAATATAGCAATGTTTATATGTACTAATATTATAAAGAGGTAAAGTTTGTAAGTTTGTATGTAGGGGGTAATCTTTGGAACCGCTGGTCGGATTGCCAAAATTCTATCACTGATAGATAGCTACAATGTTCCTGAGTGTTATAGGCTATAAAACATCAAATCAAAATCATTTATTCCGATTAAACCATAAATAATTAGGTATTTTTGAATCGTCAAAATAGAATAGTAGCCTGTCAGTCTGTTCGTTTGTCGAAATATCCCCAAAAATCGACCCAAAGCGGCGATACGAAAGCTAATAGGTATTCATATCAAAGTGTAGTTAAAAATAATTCTAATACATAATTATAGTTACTACGTCTAAGTATTAACAAAACGAAGATAAGTTATCAATTAATTTTATTGAAATTGTGGTGTAACAGTTGTCTTGTCAATTTACAAATTGAAGCTAAACTTTTTGTATTGATAACATTGTTATCTTTCACACTATTTCTAATATCATAATAGTTTTTTTTATAGATGTATTACCTAACCTAATTTGGCACGAACGGGTCGGCTCGATCGGAGTGATACCTCGGCCTCACAGAACCGGCGTGAAACAACCACAGCGTTGTGTTTCGTCGTGTGAGTGAGTTTACCGGAGGCCTAATACTAACCTCTTCCCCGTCCCTTCCCAATCCTTAAATATCCGAAATCTTTATTTCTAAAAGGCCGCCAACGCGCTCGTAACTCGTTTGGTGTTCAGGATATCCATGTGCATCGCCGATTGTTTACCATCAGGTAATCTATGGGCTCGTTTGCCGACCTATAACAGAAAAAAACAGTACTTCTTGCTATTAATTTTTATTGCATTATAAATAATAGATAGAGCGTTCTCATTGTTGAAAATCTGGTTCTGTATTGGGCGAGAAAGAGTTACGGACTCTTACTACAAACTTCACCAGTGACACTTGTGTGAATTTCTGAGCAGGTGTGGATCACTTCAGTCGAACCAGCCCATTTATGCCGAAACATTGTTTTTCTAAAATTCATTTTAGTTATACAAATATAGGGCCGATATTTTTATCTTCTTATATGTTAAAGTATGCATGTAAAGCAGTCAGTTTGAGAATTGTTTTCAATGGCACGTATTTTTTTATGGAATAACTGAATAAGTCGGCAAACGGGCAGACAGATTACCTGATGGTAAGCATCGGAGCCGCCCGAGAACACCCGTAACACCAAAGGAGTTCCGATTGCCGGCCTTTTGGGGATAAGGGTTACGCATATAAGGATTGGGAAGGATATGGGAGGGGGAGGGATTGGGCCTCTGGTAACCCCAATCACACGGCGAAATACAACGCTGTGGTTGTTTCACGCCGGTGTTCAGAGAGGTCGTGGTATCACTCCGGTTGAGCCGCCTATTCGTGCCGAAACTTGGCTCTCCTACACTTAATACGTTAAACTTTTACAACTAATTGATTGCTACGAATATTTTGAACATAAAACCTAGAAGCCGTTGTATCATCGATTTTCTACGATCTTTTAACCATTCGTTATTGATTTCGTTTTACTTTTTCGAACAAAGAGGTTGGACAATATTTAACTTATTATCGTACCAAAGAGGTCGAATAATACTGTTCTTTACATTAAGTTCTATAAATAATCTGTCAACGTCAATTTAATTTTGATAAAATGTTTACAAAGAAGATTTATGAAATATTTTAATTTTTGTTAGTAATTTTTTTATTGACTTATACAACTATTATTTATATCATTTTCGAAAATGAAATCTGGTGATTCGTCGTTTTCTGATTACAAATCAGAAGTGGTTGAAGAGAATTGGACTCAGTTATTGTTGAATTGGGTATGTATTGGTTAACACCGTAAGAAGGAACCGCCCATGGACACCCGCAACAGAGGAGTTAAGAGTGCGTTGCCGACCTTTTTGGGGATTAGGGAGATTTAGGTATTGGGAGAACACAACGCTGTGGTGGTTTCACGCCGGTTTTCTGTGAGGCCGTGGTATCGCTTCATTCAAACCGACCCAGTCGTGCCGAATTGTGGCTCTCCCACACTTCAATAACCAAGCATGAAACCTAGCTAGATTAATTTGCAAACAATAAAAACATACAAACGAAAGCCGTTTCGTTGAAGCCGTTTTAGAAATATTCATATGTATGCATGTATGCACAAGGATTGCTCTATTACAGGAGCATCAAATAAAATCGAATTTATTTGACTTAGATTATCGACCGATTCCTCCAGTCCCAGATTGGGCAAGACAGAGTGTCAGACTCTCTGACTAAAAACCACCCTGATCCATCTTCTGCTCTGAACCGCAGCGCAGCGCTTCAAAGCTTGAGATCAGTCAAAGAAACTCTTGATATTGCTCCTCTTAATTGGCCACCACAATATTTTTACCCTGGGTGATGGTAGGCCACTACACCGGCACTGATAAAAGTAGAATTAACACTAGAATTAAAACTTTACAGATAAACAAATGTGTCCATCCAAAGAGTCCAGTCAAGCAACTTAACATTAAAAGTTTAGTGCGGATTTTAAATAAATATAAACAAGACATCTATGGTCGGAAAGCTGATAAAGCTGTGTTGGATGCTGATGATATCCAGACGCTAATCAAGGAGAAGTATCCGCTGCTGAAATTAAAGTATGTATATAATGTTTGACAATCAAAAGTCAAATGTCAAAAACATTTATTCCAACTAAACCATATATAGTTTACTTTTGAAACGTCAAAATAGAATAGAAGTCTGTCAGTCTGTTCGTCAATGAAGCTAGGTGCTCGTTCCAAATTGTAGATTCGAATGGAGAAGAACGATCAAGAAACTCTATCATTACCTTTAAAAAAAATATTTGGTATAATAAAACTGTCAATTTAGCACTTAGGTCTTCTAGATAGGGCAAAGGGTGTTTTTGAAGGATGTCTATTTCTTATAGTCTTAATCTTAGCTTCATCTAGGCCCAGGTCATTCCGATGCTCATCGCTTTTGCCATCACAGTGGAACACCAGGTGTGATAAGAATGGCCTTGCTTCCTTCCTTGAGGATTCCAGTGCAAGATTTGCTTAACAATGTTGTTGGGACTCCTGCGGAGCGTTTGACAAATCCACTTGTGCAGTTTTGATTTGGCGGTTACAATTAATTGGTTTTCGCAGCATGTCTCTAAAAGCTTTGTGTTAGTCTTGGGCCTACACAATATTAGTTAACAAAGACTTAGACTAGAGCTCTCATGCTAATTCCAAATCAACAAAGTTTGGAACTCCGCTGTCGATCGATAAACTTATCATTGAGATAGTATATGATGTATATTGACTCAAATATTAAACTCTATTGTAAAAACATAAATTAGTAATTATTGTTTACTTCCAGATGCTTTTGGGATCTAAAAGATATTCCAAATAAGATGTATGTTATGTACTCCATAATGCTGTTTCATTGTTGCGTCAACTCAGATGAGGGTAATGTGGACAAGGAAATATGTACTCATCTAACGAAAAAGGAACAAGATATGATTTTGAAGTTTTGCGAAAGATTAGCCGATATGGAAATTACAGCTAGTAATATTCAATGCGCTATCAAAGGTAAAGAGACTTCGTCCTTTACTGTAATCAATTCTTTGTTGTACTTCATTTGGTCGTGGTAGCTAGGATGTTAAGGCTACTGATCCTCATGCATGAGGATGCTTCGAAAGCTAGCATGTATCATTGGGGCTTTTTCTAAGTTAGATGCTCTTTCTAACACCCGGTTTCGAGAGGCCGATCAATGTTAAAATCAATTTAATCTCTTGTCAAGTCATCTGATTGGTTGACTGAATTATCAACAACCAATCAGATGACTTGACAAGAGATTTAACAGGAGATTAGTTAATTTTAGCGTTGACAAGCCTTTCAGAAACCGGGTGTAAGTGTATTTAGACACCACTGACAAACAATGAACGAAAATATCATAAAGAAATCTGGACTTATAATTTATAACTATAAGTTTGTCATCACTAATTTGCCTTGAGCAAGCTTTGTGATTAATGCTCAAAACCTTCTCAGTATGAGAAGATGCTTTTGCTCAGCAGTGGGCTGACACAGGTCGATGATATGATGTGAGGTACTAATAATTTTGTAATATAATATTCGTATGATAATTTGTGTAGGTGAGACAAAAAAGCGTCCATTTTCAGATGGAACCTATAACAATGATTTTAATAAAAGAGCTGAGGCACATTAATTTCGCCACTGTTTTCAGATACTATATGTGTTCTTAAGATCTGCCATGGTAATAAGTTTATTGATATACAACTTACAGATGCATACGGATTAGTAAACTCAAATTTGAATGCCAAAAAAGAAATCAAAAATGCTGGAACACATAAAAAAGTCCAATCAGAATCTAGCGCACCAACCACATCACCGGATAAGAGTTCTTTCAACACAGTAACGACAGCAAATACCACAATAAAGAAAGATGAAAGTGAACTCTCTGAAGATTTAATTAAGGATTCAAATACTTTGAAATTCAAATCATCTGTAACTTTAATGCCATCTGCCATTCCCGATACTTCCTATTCAGAAGTTGATTATGTTGTAAATTATACTTCCAAGTCTGATGTAACTGAAAAGGAACCCTTTGATAAAGCTCCTAAAGTCCAACTTCATGTGCACCGGTATATATCAAGGGATGGAAATGTGGCGACGGATTCTTGTGAAATGAGTAAGCTTGCAATTATTATTAAATTAAACGTTGATATAGTAGTATAAATAAAAAGTTATAAAATCTTACTAACGGTTGGCGTAGTGGCTGGATAACTGGCTGCTTTACAACGTGTCGCAGGTTTAATTCCTGAACGGAACAATAATTGGCGTGCTTCAAAAATGGTTGTTTCGGGTCTGGGTGGCTCGTGCACGTGAATTTGTATGTTTATAAATGTTCCCAATACACTGGAGAAAATACTAGTGTAGGGCAAAGTCTTCTTTAAAAAAAAACTAACTAAGTTCTACTGATCATGGTTTCTATTGCACTTGACATATTCTTTCCCTTTCTGACGTATAATTTGTACAGACACAGGAGTTTTATTCTGACCTCCAAATTCGTTAAGAAAATCTATTGTTAATGGTGGATATAGTAGACAAAGATATAGCTTCAATACGAGCTAATAACTGTTCGAGGACAGTTAATCCTTAATGTTTTGTCGTGTTTGACCAGGAAAACGTTGCGGTATGAATTGTGCATGCAATAAGTGCAGCCGAAACCTGTCTTGTTGTGGAGAACCAGCAAGAAGTTCTTTGTTTTGCCAACAAGAATATAAAGCATATCGGTGCGGTGAAAAGAAGAATTTATTTAGCAGTTTCCCGTAAGTACCCGCATTGGATGGTTTTCCTCTCATCCTGTAATCCTTCCAATCACCAGCCACAGGTGATTAATGCTGGAAATCTTCTCTGTGTGAGAAGAAGCCTTTGCTCAGCTAGCTAAGTTTAGTATCGAGAATATAATAGGCCCCCGTCTGTGGTGGTCTATTGGCTCTTTGAGGCGCGCGCGGAACGCTACACGCCGTACGCTCTGTCCTGGTTCTGGTCGGGCGGCGAGCTGCTCTTACTCGCCGACCGCAGACCCGCGCTTACGTTGGCCGGAGATCGTCCCTTGATCCCCGACGCCTGTAGTGTCGCCTATTGCGGCGGCTGGGGCGTGAGGAGGAGGATTGCTCCCTCACGCGGGCCGCCTCCCTCTTTGCGAGCATAACTGCTTCACAGAAGAAGGAGACGGCGTCCCAGTTCCTCTCACTCCGCACCATGGCCTCGACTAAGGCCGGGCGCGAGAGGTCGCCGCCGCCGATCACTTCTCAAAGCGCTTACAATCACCTCGAGGACACGGCGGTGCTCAGCCCTGGCAGAGCATACTACTACCGAATGCTCCACCGTATCCTCGAGGTGATTGTAAGCGCTTTAAAGGCGAAAAAAAGTACTTACAGGAAATTCTTTTGAACTACGTGAAATGTGGCTCGATTTTCCGAGTTAATTCAAGTGAGTCATTCGTTACTATTTTGAATTTGCAACGCCTCAATCTTGCAAAATGAAAATAATGACCACTGACTGACATTCCCTCTATTCTACGTTTTATCTATAAAATCGTTTTTATTCCTCCAGATGCGAATTGGAGTGCAAATGGAAGATATTTCTCACCATTGTCATAATTCTGTTGCTCATTGCATCAGCAATTGCAGGATTTTTATTTTTACCTTTGCCCTTTGATTCTGATCTGGACGAGTCAACTTCAGATAAGATTGAGGAGTTCCGAATGAGTGGCGGTCAAGAAGCCAGGTACCGTATTGTTATAGCCACATCATCATCGCCATATCAGGCCCAATCGTCGATGAGCCATGCTTTGGCACGAATGGGCCAACTCAACCTGAGGCCTTGCAGAAAACTGGCGTAAAATAACACTTGTTTTGTCTATCGCCGTGGGAGTGATGTTACCGGAGGCCTCATCCTTCCCTTCCTCCTGTTAAATCAAATTACCAATCCTCAAATTTCGAATCCCAATTATAGTAATGCACTTGTTACACCTCCGGTGTTGCATGTCCATGGGTGGCGCCGATTGCTTAACATCAGGAACACAAAAGCGCACATGTTAAATGCATCTACAGCCATCTGATTAGCTATCAGATTCCCTACTATGCATGAATTTTTAAAACAAAGAATTACAACATATTGACTGCATAACGATTCCGATTTGAAGGTATATTTTATTACATAACATCAATGTTTGCACAATATATGTTTATGTATAAAGCTATTTATATAAAAAAAAAAAACAAAGAAACAAATGATGTTCAATAATTATTTCTATAATATTTTATTACTTAACAGTATTTATATTTTACTTAGCTTTCTAAAAAAATCTGAGTGGCGATATACGTTTCAATATACGAAATCAAAACAAAATGCAGTTTCCTCAGAATGTTCCAGTTGAACGCTTACGTCTGCAAGAATGGTCTTTGCGAGAAACTCATTGGACCGACTTCCGACTACTTCTTCTCATCACTAAGCCGTTGTACACTCTTATGCACGGGACCACAAATTTGGCCTTTCCCCATAGGCTACACTTACTACAGCAAGAAGATCGTATCTCTAGCCACGAGCCGATTAGAATACAAATTCAATTCTGTACCTTCCGAAGCAGTCCATATATATCTAGCAGAAGCCTTCAAACTATTCCTCGGAGATCTAGCAAAACTAGAACAATATACATCAGATCCAAGAAACCTGTCATCTGAAAATAAAATAGTCAAAAAGATGTCTATAGAAATGGATGTGGAAACAGATCCTGATCCAAGATTAAGGTTAGACACTGAAGAATCTTATCAAATCAAGATTGACACTGTAAATAATCAGGTTGTGATGAAATTGTTGGCGGCTTCGTTCTGTGGCATGAGACATGCGTTAGAGACTCTCAGTCAAGTGATCTTGTTAGACCAGACAACTGGTTATTTAATAACTCTATCAAATATGGTGATTAAAGATGCACCCAGCTACAAATACAGAGGTCTGATGTTAGACACTGGCAGAAATTATATACCAATACCAGATATCATAAGAACAATAGATGCTATGGCTTACTCGAAACTAAATACTTTCCACTGGAGAATTTCTGACGTGACCAGTTTTCCTTTGTATCTCCCAGAAATTCCACAGTTATTTGAATATGGTTCTTATGGAAGAAATTATAAGTATACAAAGGAAGATGTAAGGGCTGTTGTGAAAAGAGCTGGTATTCGTGGTATTAGGGTTGTTATGGAAGTGGCTGCCCCTGGACCCGTCGGGAGAGCTTGGTCTTGGGTTCCAGAAGCAACGTGCCCGAGTAAAAATAGAAATTTTACTTGCAGCAACATTCTATGCTTAAGGTTGGGCATGCGTGATTCAGTTTTTGATATCCTACAAATAATATATTCGGAAATCTTGAAGTTGACGAAAATTGAAGATGTTTTTCATATGAGCGATAGTATTTTTTCATTGGCTAATTGTTTTTATTTGGTCGAGGAGAGGGAAGGGTTTTTGGAAAAGGCTCTGGAAAGACTGAAGATAGCTAATAGAGGATTTTTGCCGAAGTTACCAATTGTATGGTACTCCACGCATTTGACCAAGGATTATGAAGCTCGAGCTTGGGACAGGTAATGTAATTGTTTATCCCTATTTTCATTTTCATCATCATCAGCCTTTGAAAGTCCACTACTAGACTGTAACCCATAGGTAACCCAGGTTTGCCATAATTTTACGTTTAGCAAATTGGTTGGAGATCAATCAATCAATCAATCAAACATGTTTTGTGATGAGATAGCTGTTTTAAAATCAGTTTATCAAAGAGCACTGCTTTTTTGAGGGGAAAAATCATCCAATGGCTTCTTACACTCTGGGAGGGGCGAGAGAGTGACAGACTCTTTTTAATGAATAAACCTTCTCGTTACTTCTCCTACTCCAAATCAGGCCTTTTTTGACTACACACATATACTTCAATATTCAACGGAGGACGTCACAAATCTTACATCGCGCATGTGAAGTTTGAGCGCGATTAAACATTGCATTTGCAAGCTCAGTTAGCCAATGATTAAATATGTAGGGTTAGCGAGCACAACAAGGTACCGGGGCCTCGGCCCGGAGCAGGAGAATGGGGAAGTTTTTAGTGAGTTTGATTCTCCCTCTCGCCATACCTTGACTGCACGGTTCGCACGGTGGCTGGGCAACTGGCCGCCGCGCAACACGTCGCGGTTTCGATTCCCGCACGGAACCACTCTTGGTCCACAAATTGTTGTTCCGGCGTTGGGTGTGTGTGAGAAGTCATTTTTAGATGATTTTCCGTCCACAAAAATAAAAGGGGGTGGTGACATAGAGTCTATAGATCCCATCTAAGTAGATATTAATTTAGCTCTCGTTATTAACTTTTAGATTTGGAGTACAGTTGTCAGAATGGCAGCCAAATCCTACAGAACAATTCCTAAGTCGATTCAAAGTGATACATTCGAGCAGATGGGACTTATCTTGTGAGATGAAGAAGCACAGATGTAAAAGATACAGGTAGGTGAGGTTTAAGATGCTAGTGCATAGATAAATTATTCTATGATAAACATCTATAAAATTAAAGGATTTAATATCCATAGTGTTACAAGAACGGGGCGAACCGGGGGCGGCGTACTAGTTTACTCGCGCGAAACTTTGAAGGCACGATTAAATGATACGGAATGTATACAAAATATGAAATCGGCAGAGTGTGTTTCCATTGCGCTCGACAGTGAGAGTGGTCCGATTTATTTGCTATGTATTTACCGACCACCAAAAATTAATAAACAAGATAAAACCAGACAATTTCTTGAAGAATTACGTAAAATATTAGAAAATTTACCGATAAAGAGTAACTTAATTATTTGTGGAGATATAAATATAAATTTATTAAAAAGTCAAGATTGCCGGGTAATGGAATATGAAACTTTATTAGCTGAATTTGGATTAATTAAATGCATAAATAAAATAACACGTAAAGAAATAATGAAAGGAAATATTGTCGAATCATGCATAGATCATATATATATTAGGGCACCATCTGCACAAATTAATTCCGCGGTAATACGACAAAAAATATCGGATCACTTTTTCGTGTCAACCGCAGTGCAGTGGAAACGCGCTTCACAAAATAGTGTACGAGCGTGCAACAGCGCATCGCGCGGACGCGGGCCATCAGCTGACGATCGGAGCGGGAGAAATATGCCTACCGCGAGTCGCCGCCGTGTCCTTGATAATCGCCTAGTTCGAGAACGATTATTGAGCACTGATTTTAAAGCGTTGTTATCCATCGAATGTCCAATAGAATTGTATAACTCTCTTAAGCAGCTATTTATTGATATCTACAATGATTGCTATAAAACTGTAAGTGTTAGTGTAAGCTCTAGAAATAAAAGTTGGGTCACGGATTATTTAAAAGATTTAATAAAGGAGAGAGATAGACTGTTCAAGGTTTGGTGCAATGATCCAAAGAATATGATAAAAAGATTAGAATATACAAAATATAGAAACAAATGTTATAAAACTATTACTAAATGTAGCAATGAATATGATAAGCAAAGTATTATTAACTGTATTAAAAATATTAAAAAGATATGGGATAGAATAAATCTATTATTAGGAAATAGCAAGCAATCTCTAGATACTGTGATATTATCTAATATGCAAGCGCAGGGAAGTACGAAAGATATAGCGGATGGGTTTGCAACTACTTTTGATGAGGAAATCCAACAAATTAAACATGTATGTGACGACAAATGGTTAAGTAGACACAGTTACGAACAAAAACCCGACATAAATATGAGGTGGCAACCAGTTACTCACAAATACGTTGCGAAAATTATCAAAAACATGGACGCCAACAAATCACCTGGAAGTGACCTTATACGTATGTCAGATTTAAAAATAGTAGCTAACGAGATAAGTCCCGTTGTAGCGAAGTTAATTAACTTATCCGTAGAAAAACATAAATTTCCCAAAAAATTAAAAGAAGCAATAATACGCCCTATATATAAAAAAGACAACCGCAAGTTATATTCCAATTATAGACCGATAGCAATTTTATCCAGTATTGACAAAATTATAGAAAAATGTATAATAAATCAACTTGGCACCTACTTACGCACACATAACATAATAAATAAATCACAACACGGTTTCCAAAAAGCAAAAAGTACTAATACATTACTGTCTAATTTTACCAACGAAATTAACAACTATTTAAATGATAAAAAGTTCGTAGTCGCAATATTTTTTGATTACAAAAAAGCCTTTGACACCTTAGAAACAGACACTTTAATAACGTCTTTAGAAGAGTGTGGTGTGGAGAAGCCTCTGAAGGAATGGTTCAGAGACTACCTCACATCACGCTCTTACCGGGTCAAGATAGGTGACACGTTGAGCGATGAAAAAATGGTCCGATGCGGGGTACCGCAGGGCTCAGGAAGTGGTCCCGTATGCTATTTAATGCATGTTAATAGTCTGTGCAATGTGCTACAGCACTGCTCGGCGCATATGTTCGCGGACGACCTCTGCGCCATGCGGGCCGGTACTGACCTCGCTGAAACGTGTCGTCTGGTGCAGCAAGACGTGGACGCCGTAGTTAAATGGTCCCATGATAACGGCATAGTATTAAATACGGATAAAACACAATACATCATTATTCATTCACCTTACTTACCACTAAAGGATAATTCTCCACCACTATACACTCATACATTTGGTTGCATTCATGGTGGCCTTGTCAATTGTGGCTGCAAACCTATCCAGAGAGTAAGTTGTGTAACTTACTTAGGAGTTAAAGTCGACGAGCATTTCTCATGGAAAGAACATATAGATTTCTTGTGCAATAAACTTAAAACTGTACTGAGTAAATTTTATCACCTAAGTTATAGAGTTCCTACTAGTACCCTAAAAATATTATATTCATGTATGGTGGAATCAATAATTGATTACGCTCTTGATTGCTATGGACTTACATTCAAATCTCACGTAGAAAAATTAGAAAATATACAAATATATACAATATAGGTTCTTAAAACTATTAGTGGATAAAAAAACTAAAAATAAACATAAAACAGACTATTATAAACTATATAAAATTTGCAACGTATTACCGGTCAGCATAAAACATAAGTACTTACTCGCAACTAATAGCCATGGTAATCGAGAGCGTAATTCATTATTGATTAATGTTAGTAATAGTTATAACACCCGAACGATGTCGTCTGGTAAATATGTAGTACCCAGAGTTAATAATGTTTATGGGGACCGAACGCTAGAAAAGCGTATCCCATACGTACTCAATAGCTTACCAGACGACATCAGAGACGAAAATAGGAAAAATAAATTTAAGATAAAACTAAAAAAACACCTACTCAGTACACTGCCTTAACTTTTTATTGTACTATCCTACTTATCCTACTAACTACTACTACTATCTAACTACCGACTACTTTTCTTACTTATGCTATATCTATACTCCGATTATATCTATCTAATATTAGATTTTCATACTTACGTACTTAATATTAACCTGCTAATACTACTTATATAACTTAACATATATAATACTAATATATTAATTTGCGTCCATCGCATTTATTATCAATTTTATTATTATTGTAAACTTAACTTAATAGAACCTTTTTTTTTTTTGGTGTCGGGTTGGAAAATCCTCATGGAGACCCTCCGCCCTCGGGGTAAGGGCGAAGGGTACTGTCAGACTCTTACTGACTAAAAACCAACCCGGTGTTCCTCCAATAACCCATGCGTCGGAGGGGCGGGTATCGCCGAAGCATTCGTCGCAACCCCCCGACGGGTATTGGCCCGCCAGATGGTAAGGCGGGCCCCGTCACCTACTGCGGCCGTCACCCCGACCGCAGGACTCCACTATGAGGCGCGCGCGGAACACGGCGCCGCCGCCTCGAGGCCTGCTGCTGGTCGGACGACTAGACGCCCCGAGTCTGTCGTCCGCAGGCCGCGCCCTACGGTGGCCGCAGGTCGGCCACTCTACGACGTCTAGTGCGTCTGCTGCGGGAGGGAAGAGAGGAGGCAGCCTCTCTCTCCCTTTCCGCCGCCTCCTTTGCGAGCATCACGGCCTCGCAAAAGATAGCGACGGCACTCCACCCTGACTCGCTCCCGACCATAGTAGACACTACAGCCGGAAGCGAGAGATTTCCCGCAGCACCTACGGCCGCGACCAGGTCACGGCGCTGCTCGGCCCAAGCTGGACATTCCGCCAACGTATGCATCGCCGTATCGTCGCGGCAATTACCACAATGGTGGCACTGAGACGTCGGCTCCCGGCCTATGCGACACAGGTACTTCCCGAAACACCCGTGTCCGGTAAGAACCTGCGTCAGCCGGAAGCTGAGGGCGCCGTGGCTCCTATTGAGCCACTCCTGTAGAATTGGCCTTACCGCCGCTATAGCGGCGTGCCCCGCCGTGGGTTGCGCTAAACGCGTCTGCCACTCCGCCACTAAGGCCTGGCGGAGTTCTGCCCTGCGTGCCTCAACCTGTCGAAACTTAATAGAACCTATAGTTAGTCCTATTGACTTACTATAGGTTCTATTAAGTTAGTTTTTGAAATCCAATCCAACAGACAAACTGTGTATACAGTTTTGTTGGACATTTTATACTTTTTATAATGTAAAATGTACCTTTTAAGCCAAAATAAATAAATAAATAATAATAAATAGTGTGGGAGAGCTATGCTGCATCACAAAAGACCGGCGCAACGGATTCCAGTCACACAGAAAACAAACGTGAATCAAAAACTTTCATCCAATAAGCAACCCTCAAACCCCTAATATTCCTAAATGGTTATCCCCAAATGGTCGAAAACACAGTTCAACTTTTCGGAGAGGTTTCGTTTGGTTCCCTGCCCTATCCCATGAAAAATCTAATCATTTTTGCACAAAAAGTGCACCGTTTTGCACACATACATCAAACATTACATCATCAGCTTATAATTGAAAGGTCTCTTCTCATTCGAAGAGAATTTGAGCTGTAATCAACACGTTTGCTGAAGGACGATTGGCGATTTTAAACTCATAATGAGAAATTGTAAAGGCCAGGTTTTCTCACGGTGTTTTCCTTCATCTGTCCTTGTCCTACCTTTCTGTCTGTCATGCATTTATAAACTTAGAGAAGTACATATGACTCTGCAAAAAGTCACATAGGTTATTACTGTTTCAAACCTCCTCATGCATATGAAGCGGCTAAATTTCGGGCCACCACGACGTTCACGTTTTACACACTCTTATGCTTATATTATCTTCTGCGTAGTGGGTCTAGTTACACTGGCCACCATGATCGCAATCTTGTCTAAATCATAACTAAGTACATACAATATCTTCACACAAGCCCTATGAGGGGTCCAATACACTATGACCCCAATTACACACATTGTATGTATGTTATCTGAATAATTTGAAGGAAGAGACCTCTGCCCTCTATACTATACATCATAATGTGATGTAAGCTATAAGTTTAATATATCATCATTTGAGTGTGAAATGCGACCTGCTTTCCACGGGAGCAATGCTGATACTAGATTTCGTCACTATTTAATGGATGTTATTATACATATAAACTTTCCTCTTCAATCACCTTATCTATTAATTAAGAAACCACATTAAAATCCGTTGCGTAGTTTTAAAGACTTAAGCATACATAGGGACAGAGAAAGCGACTTTGTTTTATACTATGTGACATTTAAAGTAACACTTAAACGCTTTGTACAAATTCAAAGTCGAAATTAAAAACATTTATTCTAATTAAAACATATACACTTTTGAAACGTCAAAATAGAATAGTAGAGCGTCAGTCTAGCACTAAGGTGCTCGTTCCAAAATATAGATTCGAATGGCGAAAACCAAGAAAGAAATTACTGACTTACTCACTCTAAAAAGATACTTGTATATACATTTGTGTTTTACAATCTTGTAAATAAATTGTTTAATATAATATTATTCAAACATATGAGAACAATGCAGTCAAAAAATAGTTACAAAGAAAACCCGTTGGTATACATTCAACATCTTTTCGATCTTAGGAAACATCATCTCCTACTTGAGGGGGTAAAAATCATCCAAAGATTTCTCTAGCCCATAGTGATGTAAAAAGGAGTGTCTGACTCTTAAAGCTCTCACTTTACTTCTCCTGCTCCAGACCACGGCCGCAGTATCTTGCAATATTATCCTCCTTTTTTTGAAAATGTAAAATCTTGAAACGCTTAAAATCTTCTATTGCCCAGAATGATGCTATAGTTCGTTCCATAATTAGAGACAACGATTTGACATTTCGAGTGTTGCAAGTTTTTTCTATTTCATAAATGGTGAAGTCCCGCGACCGGTATTGACCGAAAGACCGAAATTAAATTCTGGACTTCGTGCATTTTAAAAGCTTTATTATTTTAAGCTACTTTCCCTGGTACCTTCCTGTGCCCATACTAACTCAGTCGCGTAAAAATCACAATGGTAAGGAGGCAACCGTAAAATAGTGACCCACCTTTTAGCAGCCATCAGTCCACGGCGTATCATTCATAATTACTCTTCTCTTTCCGGGAAATCTCCAACAGCTCGGCTTTCAGCATAAGTTCCTCAAATATAATGTTTTTATTTTAGCCAGTCTTGGATTTCGCATTTTTATTTTAAATTTTTATTATTAATTTTTCTATCTATATCGCATTCCTATCACATTTTTATTTTAAATTATTATTATAAATCTGGCCACATTATTTTGTAGTTTGACATTTGATGTTGTCAAATTGTTGTCTCTAATTATGGAACGAACTATAGAGGGAGTTTTTTTATGGAATAGATGGCAAACGAGCAGATGGATCACCTGATGGTTAGCGATTGGCGACGCCCGGTGCGTTGCCGGCCTTTCAAGAAGAAGGACGCTAATGTCTTGAAGGTTTGAAGGTCGTATCGGTTTGGGAATATCGCCGCCGGAAGATCATTCTAAAGTTTTGCTGTGCGAGGCAGAAAGTTTCGTGTGAATCGCACAGTTGTTGACTGCCAACCATCTATGTGATAAGGATGAAATTTTTTTCGCGTGGAACGTGGTCGAAGATATGCGGCGGGGATCAAACAGAACCATCCCTAAAAACACTCCCTGTTATAAATGCGATAGAAAATACATAGCGAAGCTACATCCCTACGCAGTGCCAAAGAGTCCAACCGGTCCGAGAAAACAGAGCAGTCAACATTTCGGACAGCTCGTCGCTGAATGCGAAGTATCAGACTCCTAGCGGCAAAAAAATATCCCGTTCCTTCTCCTGCTCGAGACCAAGTACCTTGCAATCTTATCCCCTAAAGAACCAACAAAAAACGTCACGTTAAGACAACATTCAAATATTTCTGGATCTCCTATCTAGAAATTTTTCCTAGCTTGAACTAAATCCACATCGTTAAGTCAAAATATTTTTAATTTTAATTTGAACTATTTTAACTTTATCATCATCATCAGCCTATAAGTGGCCACTGCTGACCAAAGGCCTCTTCTCACACGGAGAAGGTATGAGCATTGCAACATACGGGTTGGCGATTTCAAACTTATAATTAGAAATTATAAGACTAGGTTTCCTCACGATGTTTACCTACACCGTATGTCAGTGGTGTCTAAATATTCATAGAAAGTACATATAACCCGGAAAAAGTCTCATTGGTACTTGCCCGATTTTGAACCCTCTTGCATATGAAGCGGGCTCCTTAACCTCCGGGTCACCGCGACCTTCCAGGCCACCACGTCCTATATTAAGTTGTAACTTTGTAATTTATTTATTAATATTTGTCCTTGACCTTGTAAATTAGGATCTTTAATAATGTTATTACGTTTTTGTTCCGGCAATTATTATGATTAGTAACACAGCTTATTTAGTTCGGGTTTGTCTGTGATTTTTTTTATAATAGTGTTAATTGATTTTGATTTCCAATTCAAAACTGTTAAGGCCAAATCGTCCGCTAGCTTGTCGTCCGATGTGTTCAAAATGCAGTTTTTCTTTATTTGTTGTCCGCCTCGGCCGATTTTACGGTAAAAATTTGGTCTACTTGGTTTTGATGGAACAATATCAGAAGACTCCTGAATGTAGGCGTTACCAGCGGTACCAGCGGCTACCAGCGGTAGGCAATATCCGGCTGAGAAAAGCGTAAGTCATATGGCGGCCTGGCTGGAAACAAGAGAAGGTCGAGAAAGTTTTTGTTTCCCTTTCGCCTGACCCAGGGCGGGCGAAAGCGCTGGATGGATCATTTTCACCCTCAAACAAAGCTTCCCTTAATAACGTCCAAAAATACAATTCTCATCTGTCTCATGGAAATCGATTCGGCAGTTTCTGCGTATAAGCGTAACAAACGAACGAACGAAAAATTTTAAATATAAAGTATTGCAAGGTGAACCACTTACAAAAAAAATCTATAAATAATAAGCAATGCTGTTTAATGACGTCACAATACATAGAAATACTTGTCTGTTGCCTCAGGCCATAACGGCAGTTGATGTATACTATGTTGACATTAGCAGATTGAGGTTAGATATGTATATGTGTGACTTTGAGATTTTAAATTTTATCATTGAATTGTAGATGAAAATAGGACTATTGATGTTATGTGCGAAATTTCGAGTATATGATATGAGTTTGACCATCACAGGGAATATCCAATAGACCACCACAGACGGGGCCCTATAGGACCGATGTTAAGCCAGGGTTGCGGGGTAAGCGCAATAAGTAACCGCGACCTCGGCTCAGAACACTAAAAGGGACGGACGGACGGACGGACGGACGGGGGGGGGGTTAGTCAGTAAGAGTCTGAAACTCTCTCTCGCGTTACCCTAGGCGGGAGAAGTTATGATTTTTTTTTTTTATGGTAATAGCAAAGAAGAATGCATTATAGATAATAAAGCCCTCGTTTGTACTGAATCTGTCATCCTGTTCGTACCTGTTTGTACTGAATCAAACACCATCTGTGTTTGATTTAGTAGTTGACTTTAAAAGGGACTGAAAAACGAAGTCGGCATTACCTTTCTGACTAAATCAAACACCATCTATTGCCGACTTCGTTTCGTCGTCGTGAAAGTCCAGACAATGTAAAATAATGAGACTTGACTGCACGGTGGGTACGTTGGTTGTGAAAATAGTGATTTTAAAACGTTGTTACGTTGCCCCACACTAGGATTTTCTTCGTGTGTCGTGGGTGCGGTTACAAACTTACAATTTCACATACACATAATGAATTTAGTTTTGATCTAGTAAAATATGTACATTATGAATGTATTATTTTCTTTTTTTGACAGGACTTGGCAAGACATGTATTCCTGGAAATCCTGGCGGAATATCGACGTGTTCACTATTGAGGGAGGTGAGAGTATGCTATGGACGGATCTGGTTGATAGTGGTATGTCGTGTCTGTCTTACCTAACTTAACACAGCTAAGAATATATGGGTCCAAAAGGAATATGAATTCTCAGTATTGTATACATATACGAAAAGCTAAAGAGCTCAACGGTCTGCTGCTGCATAGGCCTATATCCAGTAATGTAGTAGAAAATGAGCTGATGATGATCATGATGAGAATTTACAAGAATCGTTGGAAGAATATCCGAAGCCGTGAGTCTGGCAAGAAGCGGAGCAGTAGCTGCTAGACATAGTCCTTTTCCAAGCTTTTTTTTAATTCTTAATCATCGTCAGTTTACCAGTGATCACTGCTGAACAAAGGCATCTTCTCACACGAATAAAGTTTGAGAAATAGTCACCAGGCTTGCTCAAGGCGCGCTTTTGTTTCGCCTTGGGAGTAGGATTACCGGAGGCACAACTCTTCCCCTCTCCAATCCCTAAATCTCCTAAACCCTAATCCCCGAAAGAATGGCAACGCATGTTTGGTGTTGTATGCATGGCGCCGATTGCTTACCATCAGGAAAGTAGAAAGCCCGTTTGTGGCCAATCATATAAAAAAACTTTTCCTCTTGACTTGTAGCATTTTATCGATTTTCCTTCTTTTTTAGGTAATTTGGACACACATTTATGGCCACGTGCGGCGGCTGTAGCGGAACGGCTCTGGTCTGATATCGCTCTCAATGGGACCGTCAGCGGCGAGGTCTACGTCAGGCTGGATAGTCAAAGGTACTCTGTCTTCTTTAGTTTCAGTTCGGAAGACCATTCTGTCTGAATGGGGCAGCGAAACCGTTGATAGTGTTAATGTTGTTGTTGTTGTTGTTGAGTAATACATGGATTCAAAAAAACCTGGCGTGAGAACTCTTGAGTTGTATTTCGCCGTGTGTGTAAGGATATCGGAGGCACAATCCTCCCCTGCTTCCCATCTCAAATCCATATTTGGCAGACGGTGTTACGAGTATTAATAAGCGGCCAAATTACTTACCATTCCTCTGCTGATTTCAGGGCTGGGCTGATGTTCAGCCGGGGTTACGGGGTAAGCGCAATGAGGCACCGCGACCTCGGCCCAGAGCAGGAGAAGGAACAGGGAGGTTTTTAGTCAGTAAGAGTCTGACACTCCCTCCCGCCCGGCCCTGGGCGGGAGAAGTCATTTGATGATATTCCCCTCACAAAAAAAAAACAAATCCCTATCAAATTTCAATACAATTATTATTAACTAGCTTCTGCCCGCTTGAAATATTGACTTCTGCAGATTTTTGGTTTAAAAACTAGCCTATGTCCTTTCTCGAGTTCCAAACTATGTCTGTACCAAATTTCACAGAAATCGGTTCAGTAGTTTAGGCGTAAAGAAAATACAGACAGTCAGAGTTACTTTCACATTTATAATATTAAGTTTGGATAACACCAGGTAATCGATAATAGTCACACATGACTTCTATAATTTCTACTAGTTGCCTTTTCTGTCGACAGGTGGCGTATGGTGCTAAGGTCGATTCAGGTGCAACCAATATGGCCGCTTTACTGCAGCTTCAGCCCCGGAGTGTGTTTAGAAAAAATAAGACGCAAAGAAGTGGTTCAAACTCGCTAATTAAAAACTTTATTCAAATAATAAATAAATAAAATGTGTTTTCATTTTGTGTTCGGTACATCCAAGTACATAAAGTAATATAAAAATCTTACTAAGAAGAATTGGCGCTTATTATCCAGAAATTCCGTTCTCTGGAGCTCTCTTAGCTCTCCTAATACAGGTAGGATGCTTATGATTATGCAGGTGTGTCTATCTTATAATCAACCATTGTAGTGTTGTTAGTTAATATCAGTTTTGACGACAAATGCATATGTGACAGTAACATTTGACAGATCCTTGTCAATGGTACCGTCTTCTGCTACAAATTCTCTTTTAATATCAGGTTTTATAGTAACAATATTATTATCAGTAATCAAAGAAATAGTGCTTTCATCTAAGCTAGTAGTCATACTAGTTTTTTCTATAGCAGGCGTTATATGTACACTTTTTTCAATGCTTAAAACAGCCGTGCTATTATTGCTGCTATCAAATATTACAATGTCATTTGTTTCATCTCCTGAGCGGAGTATTACATAGACATTACTGTTATTTGTATTAACGTTTTTTAAACTTTCTGTCATCTGTTCTGGTTCTGGATAGCTTCTGTTATAAGGCAATACGCTATTAGCGTTAATATTTGGAATTGCATTATTAATGTGTTTGGATTTAGTATCATAAGGATTACCATCAAAATCATTATTATCATATAGATTCAAACTAGGATTAACATCAGTATTTATCCTCAGAACTTTGTATTTCCAATTATCATCTTTATCACCGTGAGTATAATTTGGCTTGTTTTCTACTTTTACTTCGTGAACCATACCTACGATATTCGAGTAGGTGCCACCAAAGACTGTAACTAGTCCAATAATGACTATAGCCATGCACTTCCAAAATCTCCATTTACATCTTCCAAGACCTGGATATTCCCAATCGAGGATCAATTCTATGATAGCTGGGTATACAATAACTGCTGGGGCCGTAAACAAACCACCAAGCTGGAAAAATAAAAAATAATGAGGAATGTGAGTTGTGTACGAATAAAATGCATTCATCGCCACCTAGAATGTTCCCAATTATACAATTATAGATATATTTTTTATTATACTAGTCAACGAGAACACGTATAATCTGATGGTAAGCAATCTGTGCCGCCCATGGACACCCGCAATGCCAGAAGAGGGCAAGGATAACGCAAGTGCGTTGTCGGCGTTTTGGGGATAAGGGGATTCGCGGATTAAGCGATTAATGAGAATGAGGAGGGAGAAGAGGGAGGGAGGAGGAGGAATAAGGGTAGGGATGGGGGGTAGGTAGGTTTCAGGTTTCAGGCTTCAGGTTACCTCACTTATTCGCTCTGATTATTTTAATCCGGTTTTCTGTGAGACCGTTGTAACTTGTAATACTTCGGTCGAGCCGTCTGCTTTATGCCAAGGAATGGCTTTCCAACACTTAAATTCTATCCATAGTTAACAGTATAAGTTTGTATACTACCATTAAATTACAACATAGCTAAATACAATACAGGAAAAAGCCAATCGTCCCACCCTGAAAGCCAGCAATTGCTTCAATTTTAGGAATCCATGGGCAGAGCTGATCGCCTAGCATCAGGTGGACCATCAGCCAATTCCTGAATAACCCATAAAAAAATAAAAAACGACTTACAACTCCCATTATTCTTGTGACATTGGGTAACACAAATGATATAATAATGAGTACCACAACGTGGAAAGCTCTGTACAGTCGCTCCCAGATCCAACGGTTTGATATCAGATGGTTCCTTTTTAAGTAAAACCATTCCACGTCAAAAGCCACGTGAAAACACATGGCGTAAACAACGTAGAGTATAATACATAGAAATATTTTCATTAAAACACCGAAACTGAAAAAAGAAACAAATTAATATCATCATCATCATCATCAGGCTATAAGTGCTCGCTGCTGTGCAAAAGCCTCTTTTGACACGGAGAACGTTTGAGTATTCATCGCTACGCTTGCTCAAGGCGAATTGGCGATATCAAACTTATAAATTCATCCATGCCACCACCACCTAACCACCTAAATAATATGTAAGTTTGGCTTACTCGTGTAAATTGTTTAAGATAGCTCGTCTTGTTTCAATTTGTAAGTGGGACTCTTAGAGGCAATCCTTTTTTTCTGAATGACGTCTTTAACATTGTTTTCTTTTATGAAATCATCATAATCATCGGGATAATATCATGATCTATCATTTGAGAAGCTTTCACGGTTGATGCAGCTGCAAGTAAAATCTATGATATTGAAAAATAACTCACGCAGAATATGGATAATGTATCGTAATTGGAGATACACAATTCTCTCCGTAATACCAGTAACCGAAAAACCCAACAGTTATCATGCAAGCTGTATAAACTGGCATAGCTGAAAAATATAAAAACATAATGCCATGCCACTTTCATATTAACTGACTCAAAAGTCAACTAAGGAATTGGGTAGTCTCCTAGGTCAAAAATAAATAAATTGGACGTTTCAATACAAAAAAATATTGAAAAATAACTATACTTTTATTCATCGATCGATCGATCGATACACTAAGTTTTTTTTTAGCTTACTATTAAGAAATAAGTAAGCAATTTGACGCAAAAATGGTTTGACGTCATAACTCCATTTTTCATACACATTTTTTTCATTTGACGTTTGGATAAAAGTGTTGAATTTGACTAGTTGGAAACTACCGTATTACTACTACTCGACATTTACTAACGACCAGAAGATCAAAATGTTGAAGGTGATCGTATTGATGACAATGACGATCATGATAGTGGTGATGATAGAGGTTGTGGTGATGATGACAATGACTATGGTAATGACGAAGATTATGATGACGTTTATGACGGTGGTTGCGGCATCACCAAATGATCATTAAGAAGAAAAAACATTAAATTGAAATACGTACAACCAAGTATAACGTAATGGAACTTTTTTGGATCTTTCATATTATTTTCGACGGCTAAGGAATAGCTGACAGGCTCCAAGACGAACACACACAAACTCGCAAACTGAAAACCTCCCATGACCGACTTGTAGGGAGGTCTTTCCAATGGACTGCCCACCTGGCTATGGAAAGTATACCATATCAAGACCAGGATTACGGCAACTGGAAATAATCAAACAATTTTGGTTAATAAGTAGGGATTATTGGGGTTTCTTTTGAGGGGGGGAAGTAAACCAATTTCGCTTCGCTTCTTTCACCCAGGTTGGGGCGTCAGGGAGTATCGGACTCTAATTGACCAAAAACCCCGACCATTATTTCGCTTGCTCCGGTTAAACATCAGTAAGTACTCCGAGGTTTACTCGAATTATCGAAAATTATCAGTAATCGGGTCTATTGGTAATCATTGACAAACTCACAACAACCTCCCAAAACCACCTAGATCCATAGTAGATACAACTATAAAAAAAACATCGATAAACTGAAATCTGGCGTGTCTCAGGGTCATGGATGACTGTCCTAGATCCCGTCCCATCAACGAAATATCTCAGCAGCTTTTATGTCTGTTAAATGGCAATAGGCACTTTGAATTATTACATTTTTCCATTATTATACAACCATAGCAAAGAAAATGGTGTATTATATTGTATTATACTCCTATGTCCGAGCCCCGAAGAGATTATACAGGTGTAAGTAATAATAATATAATAATATTGTAAGTATGTAAAATGTATATCATCGGTAATATCTCGATTTTGCTTGTTTCTTGGACCTACTGTTTACTCCTCTCTGTTTCATCCAAAGGTTCGACTGGCAGATAATGCCTGTGGCATTAAGTCCACCTTGTATACACAAATGCTAGTGCTAAAAGCTTAAATTAAATAATGTCATATTATCAAACTCACAGGCGTAAATATTGCTGATCAAAGCAAATGGCGCAAGAACCTTTAGGTCTATCAACATCGAAATCATCACACATGGCACCACCAGAGATATGATATAGGCCTTCAATGGTGGATACCCAGCGTCACTGATATTATGGTCCCCAGTTACCAGCTCCTTCAAAGCCCTGGCCATCATGATGATGAAGACACAACAGGAACCATACAAGTGCATCATGAGTGTTCCTTCTAAAATGTATCTGTAATGGAAAATTATCTTAAAAACACGTTTTTAGATGTTGTATTAACTTTATTTCTGGTCGCAGGTCGCCGCCGCCGATCACTTCCCCGAGGACAAGGCGGTGCTCAGCCCAAGCAGGTCACTCCGCCACCGTATGCTCCACCGGTAGCTCTAAGTGGTCCTCACATTGGCGACACTCGGGTGTTTCCTCCCGCTGGATCCGAAACAGGAGCCTACCGAAGCTGCCGTGCCAGGCGGAAGGTGACGACGCCGTGGCGTCTCTCAAGCCACTCCTCAAAGAGGGGTTTTACTGCTGCTATGACAGCGTGCCCGAGTGGCAGCCGGCTGCCCGTTCTCTGTCGAAAACACAGTCGACTCTTTGCCATCCACAGCAATGTAATGTACGTAACAGATTCTTCTGATAAAAATAGGCTTACCGAATGCCTCTTGCTATTTTCCTAAATTTATTCCAAGGTGACAGAAGAATTGTAGCTTCAATGATATCAGGGTACGATAGTACAGGCATTTGAAGTCGCCCGTATAATTTCTGAGCCGACCAGATTAACATCTGTAATGTGATCAAGATTTATTTTAATGAGACGACTTTCTTATAACTGTTTGAGTCAGCACTGAATCTTTTTTTCATAATAGTAACACTATCGTGTGACATTCGAAACTTAAACATGACAATTAAGGATGAATTGGGAAAAGCTCTACTAGATTCAAGTCACAACGGGACCCTTATTATGAGCAGCGTGCGCGTCGCAGTGATGTTACCGGTCAGCTTTGCGACGTCGCCGCGTAGTTTTCCTCAGTTAATTCACATGAGTAATTCGTTATTTTCAATGCATAAAGCACTAATAAGTCTTGGTGGAAATTGGTTAAATGCCACCATATGCTCCACCGTGTCCTCTAGGTGGTCCTCACAATGACGATACTCGGGCGTTTCCTCCCGCTGGATCCGAAACAGGAACCTACCGAAGCTGCCGTAAGGACCTGCGTCAGGCGGAAGGTGAGTACGCCGTGGCGTCTCTCAAGCCAAGCAGACCCTGGTGGACTATGAACATTCCATACTTCATTAAAAGGTTTGCCAAAATATTCACCATGGTAGGCAGGATGGACGTTGGAGTTCTAAACTCCAACTCTAAGTTTATCGGAAAACGCTGCATCTCGCTCTTTATCATAGGTGCATAGGTTAGTCCATTTTCACAATATCCTCATGAAGAGTAGCGATGGTGACTAATGTGTTTTACTCTGCCGATACCACACCTTTTCCTTCACTACCAGCTAAAGGTAGAAGGATAATCTTGGTTATACTCTTCATCATAGGATTCTAACTTCTTGATCTAGCTTTCGTCCGTGGCTTCGCCCACGAGGTATGTTGATAAAAGCAGCCAATATGTTAATCCAAGGTACCACCTATCTACTAGGTGCGGAGTGAGAGGAACTGGGACGCCGTCTCCTCCTTTTGTGAAGCAGTCATGCTCGCAAAGAGAGAGGCGGCCCGCGTGAGGGAGCAATCCTCATCCTCACGCCCCAGCAGCCGCAACTGGCGACACTACGGGCGTCGGGGATCGAGGGACGATCTCCGGCCACCGTAAGCACGGGCCTGCGGTCAGCGAGTAAGGGCAGCTCGCCGCCCGACCAGAACCAGGCCCGAGCGTACGGCGCGTAGCGTTCCGCGCGCGTCTCGAAGAGCCATTAGACCACCACAGACGGGGCCCTAAAGGGCTGATGTTCAGCCGGGGTTGCGGGGTAAGCGCAATGAGGCACCGCGACCTCGGCACAGAGCAGGAGAAGGAACAGGGGGGTTTTTAGTCAGTAAGAGTCTGACACTCCCTCCTGCCCGGCCCTGGGCGGGAGAAGCCATTTGATGATTTTCCCCTCACAAAAAAAAGGTACCACCTATCTACTCATCTACTAAATTTCAACACAATCGGTTCATCTGTTTTTGTGCAAAAGAGTAACAAACATACCTCTACATTCTCAAAAAATTGCACATTTATAATATTATAGTAGGATAAATATAATATTGTAGTTACTATTAGCTACTTACACAAACGCAGTATCCTACAAGAACTGCTAGAAATAAATTTATGCCGATTGCCAAAAATATTCCACACTCCATGTAGGCTGCATGCAGCACCACCAGGCCTCCACCGAGCCCATACATCAGCATATGTATCATAGAATCTATAAAGCTGAAAATATTGTCTCAAAGAATACATAAAGCAAGAAGAAATTGCAGATACTTTTGAATCTTCAAATTAGAAAACCTTGTCCGTCCGATAACCAGTGAAGATAGCTCGTGAAGCGCTAGTCCAAAAATGATAGCTCTTGTGGAGAAGGACGAGCAAGCGACCTTCAAACTTTTAAAAAACGAACATACTCCTTCCTAAAAGGCCGGCAACTTTGACTCCTCTGGTGTTACGGATGTTCATGGGCGGCGCTAATCACTTACCATTAGGTGATTTGCAAGGTTGGTTGCCTCCGATTCCTTTAAAAAAGGTTTATTCGTTTGATACAAAACTGACGATCTTTTTAGCCTGTTTATTTCAAGTGTGGGAGAGCCATGCTTCGGCACGAATGGGTCGGCTCGGCCGGAGTGATACCACGGCCTCACAGAAAACCGGCGTGAAACAACCACAACGTTGTGTTTCGCCGTGTGAGTGAGGTTACCGGAGGCCCAATCCTTCCCCTACCCCAATCCCTTCCCAGTCCCAAAATCCCCAAAATCCCAATCCTTAAAAGGTCGGCAACGCACTGGTAACTCCTTCTTTGTTGCGGGTGTCCATGGGCGACGCCGATTGCTTACCATCAGGTAATCCGTCTGCTCGTTTGCCGTCCTATCACATAAAAAAAAAAATACATACATACCATATGATCACGCTTAGGAAAAAAGAAACGCACGGACTGTCAAAAGTATAAACAATAAAGTAACTTACTTATTCGGTGGAGTAAGAGTAGTTCTTTTGGATGGGAAGTCAAAATCTTTAGCATCAATTGGATTACTTTTTGCTTTAAATCTTGCTGGACGACCCTGACTTCCGAAGTCACCTGAGATCTAGAAGATAGCAGAAACTAAAGCAATCCCTTAAAATAATAATAGCAATATGTTTTCTTTAAATATCATGCTAGTCATTGTTAGCTAGGGGCAAAGAACACTTGACATGTTATGTTATATTTATAGGTATTTTGTTGGCACACTTGTAGTTGTGGGTCTGTAGTAGTAGTCTGGGTGATCAAAGGTAGTTCACTGCCCAACTTGAACCAGACCCAATCGTTAGGCGGGTCACGTTCTAAAGACCACAGATGAGGTCCACAAGGGCTGATGTCCCAGGTTGTGGGTGGAAGGGCAATGAAGCACCGCGGCCCGGCTCGGAACAGGAGAAGGAACGGAGTGGTTGTTGGTCATTAAGAGTCTAACGAGTCATTCGATAATCAACCCTGTTCAAAAAAGCCTTTTCAGTAACTTGCAGTGGTATAAACAATAAACAAGAACTGTTATCAAACAGTTACGAATGCATCCTACTAATATAAAAATATGAAATATCTATCAACGAATGAGTTCATGTCGGACGGAATCAAAAGAATAAAATCACGTAAAAACTTTTAAATGTAAGTACATAGATTATTGTCAGGACAAAGGCATAGGCTACTTTGTATCTCCATACTTAGAGCTAAGCCAATAAGTTTGAAACCTGTTCATTAACATCAAACTGCTCATTGGCTATGACGACACAGCTGGACGCTAGATTTTCGCTTCTTTTATATATTGTGTTGTCAAAAATGTCCCTTTGTCATATTTTAAAGGACGTTTCAAAAAGGTCATAAAACTTTTCTTAACACCGTATACCAAAATAAATGTATTGATTGCTATTTTTACCACCGTCACCGGATCCGTTCCAGTAGCTGATTCTAGGTCTGTATCAGTCTTCTTTTCTTCTTCTTTCATTGTTTGGTTAAGCATATAAACTTCAGTTGGTCTTACTTAAACTATAGTACGTCTTCAGTATTCTTCATCTTCCTATTTCCGATTTCTATTCCATATCAGTTTGTATGTTTCCAGTTAGATGTTGAAACTTCTGCAATTTGATTAGCTTTATGCTTTTACGTACTCCAAAAAGATTGGTAATGCACTGGCCATTTTCTAGAGTTACAGATGTCTAAGACCGATTGCTTACCATCAGGTGATTTAACAGGACGTTTGCCTTCTTATCTCATCAAAAACATGTGTTCATCATCATCATCATCATTATCAGCCGAAGGACGTCCGTCAATGTCTGACCAGGTCTTTGGTCCACCAAGCAGGAGGTCTGTCTTCCGGTCCGTGGTCGTCACTCGTGCACTTTTCTAAGCCATCGGCCGTCTGCCTTTTAAGCGACGACGTGGCCTGCCCGTTGGCACTTTAGCAGCTTTCAGATTTTATGAGCGAGGTATGTCGATGACTCTGGTTCTTTGGCGAATTTCCAAATTTTGGATTTTACGCAAACTCAAAGTTAAAAAATATGTTACTAAGAACAACAATATAAGTACTTCGAACTTACCTGATTGAAAACAATTTATTATATTATGAGGACGTATATCCGTATATCTCACATACTTTAAAAACTGTCATAGTCTTGCAATTCGTAATAACAAAAATATGATAGGCTCTTGTTGATCGTAGCGTATAAGTGTTTACCAATAAATGGACTTATACAACACAAAAAAAAACGTTCAATTTGAACCAGCAGTTTCAGAGATTAGCGCGTTCCAAGATAACAAAGAAACAAACTCTTCAGCTTTACTATATTCGTGTAAAAGTATAAATACCCAGTTATAAATAATTCCGTTTAAATCAATCAAATCAACAACAATCACTGTTATAATGTCGTAAATGTCAGACATTGACGTTTCTACCATTGACTAGCTTTATGAAGCACGAAGATTTTTCTGGAGAAGGTCATTATCTTGTAGGAAGTATCGTGTATTCCGTAGGTAGTTAAGTTAGGTCGTGTCTACATAAATGATAGAATTGCGCTTACATGGGCCTATGTCTAAGGTAGTGTCATCCTTATGGGGATGGGGATCTGTGGTGGACCTGGGTCTGCTTCTGTTCGGACAACGCTTACCAGAGATCATCGCGCCATTCCCTACACCCAGTTTCTTCTGTGGTGTCTTTATACTTCGGTTAGGTCATGCGGTTTGTCATACATACATTGCTCAAAATGTTCATATGTTTGCATTTGCTCGTGCTATGATACAGCCTACTACTGTTATGTACAACGATCATGATGCCTAAGAAGAAGACGCGACCCACCCAAATGTTCTTTTGATCGGTATTGTTCGTTGGCCAACTCAGTAACACTGAGTAACACTGTTAGTTGAACTGGTTGTAAATTGACACTTGCGTGCCTGTCTTTAGAACGGGTCTACTTGAAATGGTGTGGTTCTTTCCTGAAAAGACTACTGCAGAATGAATGAGTACAGTTCTCACACATTATATTTATTATAATTTTACATTGGCTGTACTTAAGCAGAAAAGTATCTCTGAGTTTGTTTCGGCATTTTTCTCAGATTGGTAAGTAAAGAAATGCCGGCTCCATCAAGTTGCAATATAATTTTGACGTGTAAAAGTGCTGTTTTGTGGACGATTTACAAATAGTAATTCATTATTTCTTTGAAGACGATTTAAAAATAGTCCTTACTACAACTTTGAAGACTCAACCTTGAATAAGATTAATGTGATTTCCAGAACCATAAATTGTCTAAATATGTCATTGTATACGTCATTCGGTTTATTTACTTTCTTGTAAAATGTAGTTTATAGTAATTTGTGTTGTTTACGATTTTGTATTCTTGATGATATATTTTTTAAAGAATTGTGTCAAGAAATTTAACATTTTCTTTAATTTGTTTTTGATCACCAACTGTTAAATATTATACGTTAAATAATTTTGTAAAATGAAAACACACATTGATAAGCTATAAAGCTACAAATAATGAAATACAGAGCCAGAGGTACACAAGTGTATAACGTGGAAGAAATAAGGAAAACAGAACATGAAAATATTGCAGAACCAGTGTCGACGGTTGTGGGATCTAAATTAAAAGTAAAAATTCCAATCTTAACATCGAATAAGAACATTTTTTTTGTGAGGGGAAAATCATCTAATGTCCTCTCTCACCCAGGGTGAGGTGGAAAGGAGTCTCAGACTCTTATTGACAAAAACCCCTCGTTCCTGCTCCTCGGCTGAGCTCACGGTATGGTACCGTGATTGCGCTTGCCACGGCTGAACTTGGTTGAAGTTACGTGGCCTCTTCTTCTTCGTACGTTCGGGTCTGGTTCTTGTCCGGCAGCGAGCTACACTTATTCGCCGTGCGCAGACCCGGGCTTACGGTGGCCGAAGATCATCTCTCGATCCGCGACGCCCGGTGTGTTACCTACTGCGGCGGCTAGCGTTAGGAGGAGGATAGCTCTCTCACGCGCTCTGCCTCCTTAGCGAGGATAGCTGCTATTCGCAGAAATAGGAGACGGCTTCTTAGTTCCTCTCGTTCCGAATCATGGCCTCGACTAAGGTCGGGTGCGAAAGGTCGCCGCTTCCGACCACTTCACTGAGGACACGGCGGTGCAGTGTCTTCTGGGTGTGAATAAGACCATGGACTTATCATGCCATGGTTAAGACTAAAACAGCATTTGGGAAACTAAACCGAGTATAATTTAAAACCTATTTTGAACAAGACATTTCACGCCTTTTATCTTCCTAAGGTTAAGTATAGCTGGACGTATATTTTAAGTTCTAAAAGACATCCATCCAATCGTTTCACCATAACTAAAGCAATTTTTTTCTTTAATATTTAATTCTTAGGCACCAAATGATATTCGAATTCCGTACGTGCTATTGTGTCCTAACGTCGTGGTATTCCGAAGGTTAAGGCGCCCGCTTCTCATGCGGGAGGGTTCGAAATTTGGCAAGTACCAATGTGACTTTTTCTGAGTCATATGTAGGTACTTTCTAAGTTTATTAAAATACCACAGACATACAGTGAAGGAAAACTCCCTGAGGAAATCTGAACGTATAATTTCTAATTATAAGCAATGATGTATAAAACTATAGATACGTTGTCCGCGCTCTAAAATGACAACATGAAATGAAGGCAATTGACAACATCGCGCTTAGTCACGCACCAACCTGCCGCGCGACGCTACGTTTGTTTTTAATTTATATCGTGTGTGTAAACCTGTGCGAAACATAAAGAAAGCATGTCGTTGTGTGTGTTCAGACGATGTACAAATTATACTCCAAAAGTTAAAGACAAAAATATGTCATTTCATGCGTAAGTTCACCAAACAACCTATTTTTATGTTATTTTTTTCGACGCCGGCGCCTGCCATCTTATGGCGGCCGGCGCATGAAGGTATAGTCACGTGCCGTCGGCATAACTGAAGATGTATATTTATCTCCCTCTAGCAAAGCCATTCCACTATACGATGTCATCTTTTCTTTCCCTTTCTTTACTCGTAGAAGTAGTTATCTAGTATTTTCGCCGTTTTTAAGCGCCGCGATGTTGGTTCATGACGTGTCTATATATAATACGGCATTGATTATAAGTTTGAAACCGCCAATCCGCCTTGAACAAGCGTGGTGATTTTCCAAACTAATATTATAAGTGCGAAAGTAACTCTGTCAGTCTGTCTGTCTTTTCTTCACGCCTAAACTACTGAACCGATTTCTATGAAATTTGGTACAGACATAGTTTGGAATTTGAGAAAGGACAAGGACACAGTTTTTATACCAAAATTCTTCAGGATGCTACTATTCCACGCGAAGGGAGTCGCGGGCAAAAGCTAGTGCTCTATAAACCTTCTCCATGTGAGAAGAGACCTTTGCTCAGCGGCTCATTTACAGGCTGATGATGTGAACAGTTGAACATGCGTCCTAAAACGTCCATAAGACTTTTTAAAAGCAGCACTTCACGATAAATGTTCTCCAAAATACTTAAGAAACGATCGTGCACTCAAAAGACTACCCTGAATACATGGCTACTGTTTCCAACAGATTCCAGCCCAGTTCAGGCCCCCAGCGAGGTTCTCAGAGAAAAACAAACCCAAAGAAGCTGCATATTATGATTTTCGTTCTGCTAGAACAAACCTACCTAGGCCTAATGGGTAAGCAAAGTAACAATTATTATGAAATAATAAAGGTTTGAGTGTGGCCGAGTCATGCTTCGGCACGAATGGATCAGCCCAATCCTTCCCCTCACCCAATCCCTAAATCTCCAAATACCTAATCCCTAAAAGAAATATCGGCAACACACTCGTAACTCCTCTGTTGCGGGTGTCCATGGACGTAATAAGTATCGTATTATAATCCGTCTGCTCGTTTTCCGACCTATTACATCAAGAAAAGGTTGAGAGATGGTATACTGAACCTACACCTTATGCGGTTACGCATCTGTTTCTTCTTGGAGTCCATTTGGAGGGATCTTGGAGGGACTATAAGCTAGGCACTCGGCAATTCGTTGGTCATTTACACTACCACACTGCATCCTATAAAAATTTTGTTTTTGGGGTAGAAGATCATCAGATGACTTCTCACGCCCGGGTGGGGCAAGGGCCCATTCTTCCTCCGAACCGAGGATTTTTTTTTACGTTTTTTTTACGTGCTTACTGCTGAGTAAAGGCCTCGTCATCTTTAGGATTTTCTCCTGTGTTGTGGACGCGTTTACAAACATACAATTTCACATGCACATCACACCCAGACCCGGAACAACAATCTGTGGATCGCGTTGCTGTAGCTAAGGTTCTTGTCGAAATAATATTGTGATTATAAATTGAGATGTAAGCTATCCTATCTTTCAAGTTGGATCAAAATGCACAAGGAATGCAAATCAAATTTAAAATCGGTTTAGTAGTTTATGAGACTATCGCGGACAAACACGTGACACGAAATTTTTATATATAAAGATGTTTAGAGGAAATAAGCAAAAACCACGCTTGCTACCGGTGGAAGCTTCAAACTGCACGGTTGGTGCGGTCGCCGGGCAACTGGCTGCCGCGCAACGAATGCGAAACAACTCTTTGTGTGATCCACAGATTGTTGTTTCGGGTCTGGGAGTGCTGTGTATGTGACATTGTATGTTTGTGTGAACGCATCCACGATCCTAGTTTGGGGCAATAAAAATAAAAAAAAATATTTCCACCCTACATGGAATGACGCGAGGTTTTCTGTTTTACAGGATTGTGGGTTCTGTACTACACATCTTGACATATGGTTTAGGTGCTGGTATCCCTAACATGCACGTGGCATACCGAGAATCCGGAATTTGGACTGGGCTCGTCCTTAATGTTATTTTATCCGTCCTCGTTGGACATTGCTCTTGTGTAAGTAAACAAGATATTTTTCTTCTAACAAGGCATTCAAAGTCAAAATCATTTACTCCTACTAAACCATAAATAGGTACTTTTGAAACGATAAAAAGCAAAAAATAAATTTTCTTTACAGAAGTTAATACAAATGTTTTCATTTAGTTAAATAGAAAATAATATTAATAACCATTTTATTATCTTGAATTCAATCAAATCAAAGTGCTCTCCAATACGAATCATTCAAGCCCAAACACGAGGTAACTACTCCAAATAGTCAAGGAGATCCCTCGACTGGGCTCCGGCTCCATCATCAGGTCGAGTTCGACCATCAGCAAGTTGTAGCTTTGTAAAAAGCTTACTAAACAAACATGCAAAAGCACTACTCGCCGCTACAAGTTTCGAAAGTTCCCCTCGGTTTCCCTAGGATTCCATTATCAGATCCTGACCTCATGAAAATGGGACCTTCTCGGGAGTTTCAATTAAAACTAGAATTTTGGGAATAAGTTCATAAATGGCGGAGTAATCGGTAAACATACAAAAAAAAAACAATCAGCTGAACATAGTACCTCCTTCTTTTTTTGAAGTCGGTAAAAATAGAATCGTAGTCTGTCAGCCTGTTCGTCAGTGAAGATAGGTGCTTATTCCAAATTGTAGATTCGGTTCACAATTTAATTCAATTTTGGATAGGTTTTTTATCAGAAAGCTTTGTGCAGAGAGATGAGTGCAAGAAGGGTAGGGAGGTCTTTGCCCTGCAGTGGGACAATAACGGCTGATAACATAACTAGAGTTTTTTTAAAGGGGAAAATTTCATCCAATCACTTCTCTCGCCCAGAGCGAGGCGAGAGAGAGTGTCAGACTCTTACTGACTAAAAACCCTCCTGTTCCTGCTCCTGCTCTAAACGAAGGCCACGGTGCGTTATTGCGCTAGCCTCGCAACCCTGGTTGGGATGTTATTGGCATTCGAGCGGATCGGTTCCGCGTCGAACTAAAAGTGTGGGAGAGCCATGCTTCGGTACGAATGGGTCGGCTCGACCGGAGTGATACCACGGCCTCACAGAAAACCGGCGTGAAATAACCACAGCGTTGTGTTTCGCCGTGTGAGTGAGGTTACCGGAGGCCCAATCCTTCCCCTCCCCCAATCCCTAAATCTCCAAATCCCTAATCCCTAAAAGGTCGGCAACGCACTCGTAACTCCTCCGTTGCGAGTGTTAATGGGCGGCGCTGATTGCTTGCCATCAGGTAATCCATCTGCTCGTTTGCCGACATAATACATAAAAAAAGGGCTAGTCATTATAGATAATGGATGGATATTCTGGCTGATGAAAAGGACAAATATTTCAGATTCTGGTACGGTCTGCCCAAAAAATGTACGGACGTGTCCAGATATCAAATCTTAGTTACCAGGATTTAGCTGAAGCTTCCTTGCTCTTGAGTCCTTGGCGATGGCTGAGGAAATGCGCGAGGGCCTTTAGGTAGGTAAGAACTATCTACCTAGATAGACTTATAGTCAAATTGATTGCTGTATAATTAAGCCGTGTTGTGACCGAAAAGCAGAATACATTGGTCATTACAGGGGTGTTCTAAGAGTTGACTTGGAGGCTACATATTTAACTATGACTGGGAAGCAGCGTTTTCTAATGGATCGGATCCTTTTAAATTCGAATATCCAAAACGCTTGCCTAGTAAGAACACAAGTCAGAAACCAACTCTTTTAGGGACAGACTAAACGTGTATAAGTTTATTTAAAAACCTGATGATGATGAAAAAGCCCTTGTTCCTATGCTGCTCGACGACTTAACCGCTAGGCAATTAGGTTTACGGCGACGGTCGACGGTCCTAATTTAATTCGCCGGCGATTACGTCTTCAAAAAAAGTAGGAGATTTCTTTTAACAGGTTCGGATCGAATTTAAATTGCACATAGTTCAGGAACATTATTAGACCCTAAAGTGCTGATTTTTCAATGGTTAGATAAAAGTTATCTGGGGAATAATTATGATGCTGTCGCGTCAGAATGTTTGTATAAGACAGTGACAGCAACAATTTTATTCCTCAAATAACATTTATCTGACTATTGAAAAATCAGCCGTAAGTAGGTTAAACAAAAATGAAGTTAGAATACTTTAGTTCTAATGTTTTTTTACAACGCTCCTCATTCCAAAATTTCCAGATATCTAGTGGAACTAACGCTAGCTTTGCACTGTTTCGGTTCATGCTGTGTCTTCGTTATCATGATAGCGAGGAACCTGAAAGACCTGGTCGAAGGTACGGAGTACTTTCGTGATGATGGAGATCCTCCATTGACTGTTTACATCATATCGTTGGTGATACCTTGCACAGCTGTTTGTATGGTGACTAATCTGAAGAATTTAGCTCCATTTGCCATTATTGCTAATTTTTATGCTGGTAAGTGTAAACTTTAAATCACCAGTGTCCGCCCGCGGCTTACCTGTGTTGTATGGTTTTTTATGTGACAAGCATCGGCAGACGGTGTACCTGATGGAAAGCAATCAGCGCCGCCTATTGACACCAGCAACTGCAGAGGAGTTACGAGTGCGATGCCGACTTTTTGGGGATTAGGGATTGGGTAGTGAAAGGATTGGGTTTTCTCACACGGCGAAACACAACGCTGTGGTTGTTTCACGCTGGTTTTATGTAAGGCCGTGGTATCAATCCGTTCGAACTGACCCATTCGTGCTGAAGCATGGCTCTCCCACATTTAGTTTTCCTGAATATTCCTCTTTTTATTGTTAACTAAGCGAAAATCATTGCCATCACAATTATATAAGCTACGGTCCACGACACATCCAAAACTTTAGTGTCTTTTAGATCAGCCGATCAACAGCTCCTTTCAACATCCTTTCAAATATTGGCAAATGCTATTGTACTAGGTTTGTGTGATCCTATAATTCCTGTTGTGATACCAGTATGTATTCGAATACTCCAAACTAATGTTATAAATGCGAAAGTAACTCTGTCTGTCTGTCTTTCCTTCACGCCAAAACTACTGAACCGATTTCTGTGAAATTTGGTACAGACATAGTTTGGAACTCGAAAAAGGATATAGGATTATTTTTATACAAAAAATCTGCAGGAAGTCCACTATTCCACGCGTACGGAGTCGCGGGCAAAAGCTAGTAAACAAATAAAAAGGTTTTTTCTGTTTACAGCAGCGGTTCTTCTTTGCACAATGTGGTATTGTTTAAAGTATGCTAGAAAAAGTCCTCTAGACAGAAAAGGCTACAAAAATGTTATGGGAGTTTTTGAATTTATTGGCATGTGCCTTTTTGTGTCGGAAACGGCAAGCATTGCTCTTCCGATTGAAAAAAATATGGACAAGCCTCGGGAATTTCATCGAGTTATCCTATTGGGTAAGTAGTTTTCGAGATTTTTTTTATGTGATAGGGTTAAGGCATGTAATACGAGCGGGTATACCTGACAGTAAGCAATAAACGCCACCCATTGACATCCACATCTGGGATTACAGGCTAAAGATCCCCAATCTTTAACCTGTAATCCCAAATGTGGATTTGGGCTTCCCTCTTTCAAGCCGATTTTCTATGAGGCCGTAGTATCTATCACTTAGTCAAGCCGACCCATTTCTGTCGACGCATGGCTTACACTTAAAAGAAATAATAATAATTATCTGCATATACAAACGTTCAATACTTAGTGTCTTTTGGTCTGGTTGACAATACGACAATCATAAATGTTGCTTTCTTCCAGCGATGCCGATTTTAACAGCAATGACAATGGCTATTGGGTTCTTTGGTGTTTGGCATTATGGAGACAATTCCGTTCCTCCTATATTGTTACATTTTCCTTTTAAACCGTATGTATCGTTTTAATCAGTTTTTTTCTTTGAGTAAAAGTAAAATAATCTGATAAACTTTTTCGGCCTGGATGATGCGCGGAGTTTATTTAATGTGATAGGACAGTTAATGAGCAGACGGATTAGTTGACGGTAAGTAATCAGCGCCGCCCATGGACATACGTAACAACGTAGTGTGTTGCCGACCTTTTGGGGATTAGGAATTAGGGGAGGGTAAGGATCGCTCACACGGCGGAGCACGACGCTGTTGTTACTTCATGCCGGTTTTTTGTGAGCTCGTGGTATCACTCCGGTCGAGCCGACCCTTTCGTGCCGACGCATGGCTCTCCCACACTTAAACTGACTGTTAGACTCTTAGCGACTAAAAACCATACCCTGGGCTGCCATAATGCTTCAGACGGAAGATGAGGACGCCATGACGTCTCTCGAGCCACTCCTCTTAGAGGTCTCTTACCTGGATTGGGGGGACAGATGACTAGCCCTTTGGTAAAAACACACAACGCTGTGGTTGTTGCACGCTGGCTTTCTTTGAGGCTACGGCACCATTGCCGTCAAGCCATTATTATGAATTATTGATCGTTGAAAATACTTTTTTTATTTATTTTTCATTCCTATTTTTCTCTATTACTGTTTTAATTTTTTATATTCTATTTTGCAGCATACCAATCCAGCTAAAAGTGTTTCTATGTCTGATAGTCTATGTTATTTATGCAACGACGTTTTTCATCGGTTTTGATATTCTGTGGTTCTACCTAAAGAAGATGCATCTAGCAGCCCATTACAGTTTATACGAGAGACTTTACAGAATCATACTGGTCTGCGTTGTTATTAGTATTAGCTATTATTGTCCAAATATTAGCACTATTATGGGAGTTGTAAGTATATTTTTCTTATTATTTCATTGTTAACCTTAATGCCATAAGTTATTTTGAGAGCTAAGTCTATTGACATACAACTAAATTTTTGTTATCATCATTATTGGTGTTAAGCTTTTTTGTTTATATTTTTATCAGGATTCTTTAAATCGTACTGCAATTGCTAGACCGACCGATGAGATAAATTGCTTTATATATTTCATAGATGTTTAACGGACAAAACCAACATTTTAACTACACTAACATTATTCTTATTAACGTGAAAATTCATCAGTAGACCAGAAGACCAGAAGACCGAAAGACCAAAAGACCAAAAGACCAAAAGACCATAGTGACTAAATTTAATTTCTTCCTTTCAGGTCGGCTCATCCTGTACCGCCCCATTTTTATTCCTCTACCCACCATTCATTGAACTGATTGTAGATTGGGAATATCCAGGTCTAGGCCGTTTTAGATGGAGATTAATCAAGTTTATTGTGTTTTTTATAATTAGTATCGTAATTATTGTAGTCGGTACATATTACAATGTCCATGCTGCTCATATAAAAGTTAGACAAGGACACGTTCATACATTTGATCCTGATGAAATGTGACGGAGATTGATTTTTTTTTATCTTTTGAAAGGGTTAGGTTAGGTTAGAAGATGGTATTTAATGAATATGATATTTGTTAACTTTAATATTAATATTTGTGAATGTTATGTATTTGTAATTTGTTTTATTATTGATATAATTGATATTTGTTAGTATTAATATATGTAAAGTAATTTAATCGTGATTTCTTCTTTTATGAACAGTCAGTATAATTATTTTATACCAACAGAATCAAATTGAATCATTGTGAATTTAAAATGAGACCACCCATAACACCCAAAGAAGTTACGAGTGCTTTGCTAACCTTTTGGGGTTTTTTTTGTGAGGGGAAATCATCAAATGACTTCTCCCGCCCAGGGCCGGGCGAGAGGGAGTGTCAGACTCTTACTGACTAAAAACCCCCCTGTTCCTTCTCCTGCTCTGGGCCAAGGTCGCGGTGCCTCATTGCGCTTACCCCGCAACCCCAGCTGAACATCAGCCCTATAGGGCCCCGTCTGTGGTGGTCTATTGGCTCTTTGAGGCGCGCGCGGAACGCTACGCGCCGTACGCCCGGGCCTGGTTCAGGTCGGGCGGCGAGCCCTTACTCGCCGACCGCAGACCCCGCGCTTACGGTGGCCGGAGATCATCTCTCGAACCTTTTGGGGATAAGTGTATATTATATTTAAGGATTGGGAAGGGAAAGGATTGGGCATCTGTTACACGGCGAAACACAACGCTGCGGTTGTTTCACTCCGGTTTTGTGTGAGGCTGTGATATTACTCCGGTCGAGGCGACCCATTTGTGCCACAGCTTGGCTCTCCCACACTTAAATCGTACATATCTCAAGGATGGGACGTTAAACCTCATTTTTGGAAGTTATCCATGCAATAACTTAATAATCAGGGTATTTCGTTGTAAAGACAAATAAAAATAAAACGACAATATTAATTATATTTACAAACATTAATCATTTATTCGTTAAAGAAAAAATATATCACCCTCTTATAGTTTAGGTATAAAGAAGGCACAAATACATTACGTGAACATTTACTTTACATTACATCAAATTTATCGATAAAATGTCTACTACATATCGATAAAGGAATATCGACTATTGTACTTCACTATTGTATATCAATATAATGGTAAAAATGCTATGACATTGTGATATTGTTGTATTTCGTTAATTAATTACAGTCCCTTCAATAATTTAGTTTTTGATATTAAACAAAATGTGATTTTTATTTTGTAACAAGTCAAAACTCAAATTTACTGTTTCCAATGTTGATAATAGTGATGGGACACAACAATGTCGATAAAAAACATATTCCAGATATTTCTTTAAACAAAAAAAATATATAATAAATTACATTTCACTGGTATATTTCTGTAATATTTCGTTTACAATCAAAATTATTACTTGAACAGGACGTCTTTTTTATACAAAAAAGGACCTATATTAGCTGCAGAATTTTCCTATGCCCAAATAACTACATTTAATGGTATATTTATTTTAAAACCCCTTTTATGTAATACACATAAAGACTAGTAGGTACTATTTTTCACTAATATTTTAAGTTAAAAATGGAAGAATGTCTATTTAATATTTTGTTTATTTATTTTAAAGTACTAAGCACCTTGTTTGGAACTGTTGTATGTTTGTAATAAATTACAGGCACATCGTTATTAATTCTACATCATTATAACTGGTTATATATAAATTCTTATTATTATTATTTCTCTTCAAAACTTTGAACGCTTAAATGACATTCTAATTTAAAGTACAGTCGCATTTCATTTTAAATATATTTGAATTACAGACTAATATTAAATTACAGATTTAGAAAGAGAAAAATGTAATTTTAGGGCAGAAATTTTTTGTCTACTGTAATTAGTTTTTGTGATGATTTTTGTGCGTTCAAAGTCATTATGGCAGCTAACTTGACTCGTAAATATTAGTCACTATTTCATTAAAACTATCGACAAGTCTAGCTTTAGGAGAGGGGTATAAAAAAAAATATCGAAAAAAAAATAACAGTACAAAACCACCTTGTTATGTAAAAAACCAGTATCATACACTAATATATTTTCAATAGACACAGACAACGATATTCGAGATGTGACAGAAAAAAAATTACAGGTTCAATTTTTTTTTGCAATGTAAGAAAACAAAAAAATAATAATCCTAAAGCCATACTTATCTTTAGAAAGTCACTATTACATTTAAAAATAACTATTTATTTATTATTATTGTACTTTTAAAACATTTACAAAGAAAGCGTTAGCGTAATAAAAATAGAAGAAAAACATTGTACGATAGTCTTCTATGATAGTTGCATTAAAAGCCAAATGTAGGTACTTAATTAAATTCTAAAGTTTAAATATTTTTTGTAATAATTAATTAATAAGCATTTAATCAATTGTAATACATAATTAAAATAAACTTATACATACTAATGTGATCTTAAATACACTTTGGTAATATTTACCTATTAAAAAACTATATTTAGAGTGAGAAAAAAAAACGACTACAAGTAAGAACTAAAAAAGCAGACTAATTTTCTTGGTTTAGTAAGTTTTTAAATTGATTATCAAAGAGAAAAAGGTGATCGTCGATTTGTTAAAAAGAACAATTTAGTACTTAAATTCAGTGTAATAGGTATTAAGAATTAAAAATTGTTTTTTTTTCAATAATGATTAATAAATATTTACATTTCTAGAAGCGGGCCGAAGTAGCTGTCATTTTTAACATAATTATACTTTTTAACTTAAATTTAAAAGCTGCGATTTTTAAAATGCTACCAATTTATTTTAATAAAAGCATCCAATTCTAAAAGGTTGTTCAAACAGATGGATTTTTAGTTTTTTTTTTTTTCGTCTTGAATCTTTCAGTTTACATTTTTAGTTATACTTAGCGGAATTTAAATATGGTTGACACTATCAGCCAGGTTTTTAATTTGGTATTTCATTTCGCGTCTGAATTTAGACGTTTTTGTTATATTTCTACCAAAAAATGCTACTAGCTGATTGGCCCAACCACCATAAGAAAAGTTAGCCAACAATTATCAAACAAAATTTTAAGTATCTTCGCAAAACTTAAGTTTCAAATCTTTCAACTTACACTAAAAATAAAAATTAATTTTCTTACCATGTATTCTGTACAATAATATATAAAGAAAACTCATGGAACAGAGACAAAACAAATAGACAAAAATTGATTACCAGCCTAAAAAAATGTTCGAAAAAACAGACTTTTCCTGTTTTTCTCATTAAAGATGTTAGCGAAATTTTGAAGCGTTTAATTAATAATGTAACTAACAGCATTAAATCGTTTTGTCTCGGATAATAATCGAATACTTTTTGATAACAATAAATAAGTTACGCTAGTTTTTTTAAAGCATTCGAACAAGGAGATACATCAGGATTGTCGATAAGGCGGAGTACACTGGCCGGATGGAATGCGCCATAGATGTGTTTTCACGGAACACTGAAAAAAAGAAAGAAAGAAAATGTAGTGACGGCTGACGGTTCTTCTTACATGACAGCTGTCATATTGACAGTTATATTAATAAAAAAAAAAGTTTTAGTAAAAATTTGAACAGAAAAAAATGCAAAAGAAGCAAACAAAAAATTACCTGACGCAGTCTGGATGTACAGCGATTGCGGATCTTCTAAATAAAAAAGAAATAAAAATAAAAATAATAAATCATGTTATTAAACACAAAACAAAAACAATTACCTAGGGAAATAAAAATGCCAAAAAAAATAAGAATGAATTTAGCAAAAAACAACATTAAAAAAAAACTTTGTGTAAGTAAAGCCATCTGTCAATAGATGGCGTGAAATAAAAACAATAATATATATTTACAAACGACAGAAGAAAAAAGAATGTAGTACAATTGTGTTATTTTTCCCTATAATTCTTGGTGTTAGGAAATTCGAAATTGAAAAACTCAACAAGTAACTAAATCTAGAATTTAGAATTTTGTGCATACCAGTTTGTAGGCATCACGAAAACAATAGTTGAGAATGATTTTGTAACTCAATTAAAATTAAAAAATATACATACGGATATTAACAACAGCTGGTTCGTTGGAACCGCCCCAGCTCTTGGAGTTCTTGACCTTCACGACAGCCAAGTATTCACCAGGTTGCAGCTGTTTGTCCTCCAAAGAGTAGCTGATGTCATAATTGTGGTGTCTGCCTTCTGGAACTGGTACGCTCAGGGTCGTCCATTCTCCTTCCTGCAAAGATAAGTTCATGTAGGAAAAAAATTCAACCTCCATCAGGAAGCTGCTGGATATAGATAGCTTCCAACCTATGTGGGAGTCATAAAGTGACAAAAAGTCCAGCAGTGAATTTCCTGTGTCCTAAATGGCATGATGATGATGATGATGAGGGGCATACCATATTCTTGCTGCAAGTATGTGATAAACTAAGAGATTTCACATATGAAGACTGATTGCGATCTCCTGCATTTTCATCAGAGGGGAAAATCGTAAAATAACTCCTTCTGCTCTGGATGACAAGAGAGGGAGTAGTATCGGGCTCCTGGCTTAAAACCACCCTTTTCCTTCCCCTGCCTGACTATAGAGAATATCAGCTCTGTTGAGCCCTATCTGTGATAGTCTGTTGGCTCTTTGAGGTGCGCACGGAAAGCTAAACGCCGTACGCTTGGGTTTGGTTCGGGTCAAGCGACGAGCTTCCCTTGCTCACCGTTGTGGTTCTTTCAAACCACTTACCTCACTAGTAGCCTTGAGTTGCACTTCCATCTCTTCAAGGGGCTGGTGGGAGTGGACAGTCCAGGTCATGCGGGGGCCATCGATGTCCACGTCTTCAACCACGGGGCTCTGCACCAGCTCGATAGAACGGTTGTGGGTACCGTAGTCGTTTTCAGCCTGTAAAATATGTAAGGTTCTTGTTAAAGACTTTTGGATGAGCATAAGGCAGTTAATTCTGTTTAAAAGTATGGTGAAAACTCCAAAATCTTTTCAGGGACCTCACATAAATCTCTGGTGGGACCCTCATGTTTCACAACATTATGAGTCCCTTATCATCATACGGAGCGAGGCGATAGTCATATGCTGGACATCATTCTTGAGTCCAAGAACCATGATTTTAGATTTTATATCAACCGAATAACGTCTGACAATACTTTGCATGGCTTAGGAATTGGAAACGAGACCTCTGTCTAGCTCTAGCCAGACGTAATTCAAGATTTCAAAAATATAAGACATAATTAGTTTCTCACCTCTTGGTTTTTTGGGAGGAAAATCATGCAATTGTTTCTCCCTTCTTGGGTAGAAAGAGAGGAGGAAGTGTCACCTCTTACTGAATAAAAACTATCCCGTTCCTCCTCCTAATTCGAGTTCGTTATCATCGAGATCCACCATACTTTATTGTGCTTTTCTAACAACCCTGGCAGGGCATCAGCTCTGGCAGACCTCATCTGTGAAGGTCTTTGAGTAATTGTAACTTACCTCACAAGTGAAGGTACCAAAATCACCATCAGCAGAAGGCGACACAGTCAGGTTGGAGTGAGCTCCCACGGTGCTGATGACGTACTGGGTCGCGCTATCCTCAATCAGAACTCCATCTTTGTACCAACGGATGTGTGGCCTGAAATTTGAAGGAAAACCATCGTAACGTACTCTCGCCCTAAAGACAATTTTACTTTAATAGCTTAATTATGGGAATAAAAACGCGGCTTTATAACACGGCTGAGAAGAACACATGTGTATGTTTGTCACCTACCGACCATATTCTTTGTGGGGTTCTTGTAGGACCTGACTAAGAAACTAGGAATTTTTAAAGGGCCAGAAATCATCAGTTCTCTTCTCTCGCCCACGATGAGGCGAGAGGCACTAAAAACCAATCCTTTGGGTGACATTTATGGTGGTCTATTGGCCCTTTAAAGCACCCGTGGAACGCTATCTAGATACTGCTTCAAAGACCAACAAGTAGTGGTCTTTAATAACCTGGAACCTTTTATGGGGGATCGTTGAGGAATTTCTCATTCGAACGTTCATGTTTTTTAAGCAGATCGGTCCCCTGATGGTAAGCAATTATCATTAAAATATTATTTATAATTTGTAATTTACCTGGCTTCCTCGTGAGCTACACATTGGAGAACAGCTTCAATCTTGAGGTCGGAGTTCACAATGGTCCTTGGCACATGGACTTGAGGTTTGCCTGTGAAAATAACCGAAAAATTATCTTCACTGAATTTTAAGTGACGACATTTCTTCTGAATACTTTTGAGCAGAAGAGTGTTATTTTGCATTCCTATGCTCTCTGCATTGGTTTCATTTAAAGCCGCTTAGCAGTTTATTTTTATGGAATACTTTTTATTTGTGTGAGAGTGTCAGACTCTAACTGACTAAAAATCCCCCCGTTTCTTCTCCTGCTCGAAGCCTCAGTGCTTCATTGCGCTTACCCCGCAACCCCAGCTATACATCAGCCCTATAGGGTCCCCTCTGGAACTTTTTGATTTCAACTTCGAAAGAATAATATGGATATGACTTACCGTTGACAATAACGCTGGCCTCTGATTGGTCGCTTCCCAACTTGTTCAGAGCGTAACAATAGTATTGTCCAGCGTTCTCTTTCTTTACGTTCTTAATTCGCATAGTGTACTGGTTGCCGACCACGTTGAATTCTGCGTCCTTCTCTGTCAGGCGCTCGTTCTATGGGAGGAAAAGAGATGGTTATATTTTTGGTGTTTCGTTGTCAATTGGAATGGTACTTTCTTGGTGTTCTGTTTTGTTGGTCTGACGAAGTGTTGATAAGGGATTCAATCAATCAAAATATTTATTACACAGCACAAATACATAAATATGTATGTAGTACTGAAATTTTGGAAACATTAGATCCTGATGGGCACGGCAAAATATATGTATGAAGGATTACTCTACCTACATTTAATTCTTTATTTATGGGTAGAATTATAACTGCTAAATATTTGGGAGTCCCACCTAATTTCCATTTCATTAAAAAACCCTTTTTTCCTACTAAAAATACGACTGAGTTTACAAACACATCACACCCAAATTCTGAGCAACGATTTGAAGACGACATAAAGAATTGTTGCAAGCGAAAATCAAATCTACAACACATTGCACAGAAACCAGTTGTCTAGATACAGTGTCAACAAATTATGCAGTCACTCTTCCAATGCCTTTTTGAGGGGGGATAATGAGATCAAATTACGTGGGGCGAGAGGGAGTGTCAGACTCTTACTGACTAAAAACCCTCAGTTCCTTCTCCTGCTCTAGGCCGAGGTCGCAGTATTTAATTGCGCTTGCCCCACAACTCCGGCAGAACATAAGACTTTTTGGACCCCTGTGTGGTGGTCTATTGGTTCTTTGAAGCACTTCCAATCTCTTGCCCAATCAAAGTTAAAATCAACTAAATAGGTGTCAAATCTTTTGTCAAGTCATCTGATTGGTTGTTGATAATTCAGTCAACCAATCAGTTGAATTGACAAGAGATTAAATTGATTTTAACATTGATCGGCCTTTCGGAAACCGGGTGTAATTATCTTAAATAAACATAATTACAATGTACCATGACTTCCCCTGTCACGAGAAACTCGTCATACAGAATATTTATAGCCCAGTTTCTAAGAAAATCGCTGTAAACTGAATGTTATTTATATTTCTACAAGTAAAGGAAGCTGTACGTTTAATAGTATAACGGAAAGGCACTGCGTTTCGAATGGTGTAAGTAATATTTTGTTTGTAAAAGTAATTTTGCAATTACGTATGGTATAGACAATATTGCGACAGAAAAAATGCTTCCAAATAGATTTTGATTGAATAAATAATAGGTATAGGATAGTAACCTATGAAATTGCCGTTCTGCAGTACTGGCCATTTCAAATCAAAATAGGTTTTTGTTAGGCTAAGGCTAATTAATTTTGTTTTAAAAACATGGGATTCTATTTCCAAAAGTAGTCATTTGTTTATTGACTAGTGTTACACATCGCATTTCTAATCAAAAAATTCGTTTAATTTTTTTCATGGAAAACAGCAATTTCATAGACGTAAAGACCTACTATTGTAGTTTTTATATTAAAATTGCTATTTAAAGAAATAATGATGAAAATATTTAATAAGAAGTTTTTTTTATGATAGATAACGTTAATATCATTTTAATACTAGTTTCAATGTAAAAATTACAATGTAAAGTTAATTTTAATATCATTGTCGATCTAATATACCTTTCCTATTAACTTTATTATTCAATTTATATTAAGTTTTCTGTATTTACTCGCACAACTAAATTTCAAATCATTTGTCTAGGGGACTGCGATTTAAAACACACATTACGTTTCAAAGTATAAAATAGATGAGTAGAGCAACTAAGAGACTTAATACATAAGTAAAATCATAAAATGACTGCACGGTTGGTGCGGTGGCTGGGCAACTGGCTGCCGTGCAACGTGTCGCGGGTCCGATTCCCGCACGGAACAATTCTTTATGTGATTCACAAATTGTTGTTGTCTGGCCGTGACGTGTATGTGAAATTGTAAGTTTGTAAACGCACCCACGACACAGGAGAAAATGCTAGTGTAATGTAAAAAGTACTTACAGGACGATCCTTCCTGGTAACGGACCAGATAACAGTTGGTACAGGAGAAGCGGTCACGAAGCAGGAGAGAGTCAGGTCAGAACCCTCACCAACAGTACCTCCGTTAGTTGCAGTCATGTCTGAAAAGTATAACGTCTTCATAGAATCATGGTCACTCATGGTAACTCTCCAGCTTAATAATATAAGTATAGATTTTATTTTCAAACTGATCAGGTTTGTCATGTTTATAAATCTTTCTTCAAATGCATCATCATCTGCCGGAAGACGTGGACAGCTGTCCAGGAGTGTACGTCTCCTCCTTAGCCTTTGTCCAAAGGTTTCCAATGGCGGAGGGAGGGGGAGGGGGTGATGCCATACTTCTGTCCTTTGGCAAGAGGTTTGGGCCAACGGTCTCAAAACCATCTGCTCGTAAGATGACTGTGAATCACTAATTTGTTCTTCCTCGTTTAAGTGCGTTTGTAAATGAGAATATGATAATATGTTTTTACAATCTTCTTTAATTACTATTCTTCTTTAAGTTCTACTAATCTTCTTTTAAAAATCTATTTGTATTTCCACCTTATTAGGATTAATTAGTAAAAGACTCTGTACCCACTCATTTTCACGTAGCAAAAACCAAAAAAAAGTTTTGGTTTAGTTTCTCGTTGTTGTACACTTTAACCTTCCAACTGTAAATTCGATTCGCGAAGAAACGCGAACGCGATAGCTTGGGGTTTTATGGGTTAAATCTTATGTATCAACTAACAGTTTCTTGAAATTGCCCAAAAGCTATTGGTCTACTGAGAGTTTGATAAATATACTTACTGACAATAGAAGGTTTCTGTGTAACCAGAAGAGTGTGGTTGATGGCTGCTGGATTCTTCTCAATGGTCTCACATCTGAACACTCCACTGTCTTCCACTTTAGCATTCTTGATCACCATGTCTTTGGAGTCCTCCGCACTAGAAGCAAATATGTCATCATGTTTATGGATCCCGGTCGTGGCTTGAAAATATTCAAGCGTCTTTTACTTTTTAACTTTTACTTATCTAGTAAAATGTGTCATATCACCAGCTTATAAGAGCTGGCTGCTGAGCAAAAGTTTCTTCTCACACGGAGAAGGTTTACCATTAATAACCAATGCCAATAAATTAATTTGACGTCTCAATACAATAATTTAATAAAATAGCTTCTAGCTAATTTTAGATATTTGACGCTAAAATACTATATATCGTTTTTGACATTTGGTATAAAAGTATTGAATTTTACTAGTTGGAAACTCCCGTATTGACTAAATTTGATATACTCACATGGAATATCTGACTTCTTCAGGATGCATCTTCATAGTTCCCATGAAATAGGGATCGTTGTTTCTGCTCCATGTGATCACGGTTCCTGGAGTAAACAAAAACATATATAAATTAAAACTTGTAAGTATAAATTGTAAGTTTGTATGCAAGGGGTGATCTTTGGAACCGCTGGTCGGATTTCCACAATTCTTTCACTGATCGATAGCTACAATGTTTCTGAGTGCTATAGGCTATAAAACATCACGCTACAGTCCAATGGGGCCAAGCAGCGGGTAAAACCGCTCGAGATTAGGTAGAACCAGCTTAGTAAGTCATTCAAACAACGGCAACAGCCTGAATTGACTAGCTGGTAGATTGAATCCTTAAATCCCTTCAGAACTGGTAAATCAAATAGGTGACCATAGTAATTATATTTGCTTACCATGGACGATGTGTCGGTTCTATCCTGTAAAAAAACTAGGATTCTAACCTGGGATTAACTGCTTACATTTGAACTTAGCGATAAAACAAGACAAGCAAATGCTACCCCCATTCAAATAAAAGATATTTCTAATGATATTTCATATTATGTCGAAATATTACTTTATATGTATTGTTGATAGCCGCAATTCAAGCTTAGCCTAGTGCGGTTGTCATTGTAAATTATTACTGTAATGACTGTAATGCCCAATTAAGATTATTTAAGATGATTACTAACGTCTATGTAAACTATTCCATTCTAATTTTATCAATCCAAGACGTCTACCACACTAAGTACAAGGTTCGCTTCCTGGTGAAAGCAATAACGTTACAAAGCGACTTTACCTTTAACGATTGCACTTAATTACAAAGATAACCAAATATGTAAGTTTACGTTCTGTTTTGACAGTTAACCGGAACTTGCGCGTGCGCACTGGCGCCAGCCGGAAGCTCCGCCATTTTGTTGTGAACAACTTTTTATTGGGCAGTGAATCATAGATGATAATATTTTTTTAAATTTGGGACGGGTAAAGGAAATGTTTTGATGTCCAACTGTGGACAGTTGGCCAGGAGGATGCATTTTATGCAATTGAAATTTTAATATTATTTTTGCATTCAATGTGGGACGTGGGCAAGATATATGCGATGTGTGTGTTCCTTTATTTTTTGGAACGACTGTGTCATAATTATTGGTTTTGGGTAAAGGGTCTATACATCATTTTTTTTTTATTGTGGAGAGCCATGCTACAGCGCCAATGGGTCTGCTCGACCGAAGTGATACCACGGTCACGGTTAGAGAAAACCGGCATGAAACAACCACAGCGGTTTTTCGCCATGTGAGTGAGGTTAGCGGAGGTCCCATCATTGACTCCCTAAATCACCGTAACCCCTTATCCCCAAAAGGCCGGTAATGCACTATCAACTCGTCTCCTTTGGTCCATGAGCGACGCTGATTGCCTACGTCAGGTCAAAGGCCAGAACGTTATCCGCAATGTCACAAAAAAACATAATGCATCAGTGCTTTAATGGGAGTTCGTTCCCCAAAACATTATGCTGGATAACTACATATTTAGTCAAATTTGAATTACTCACTTTCAGGGGTAACTTTGCACTCCAGTCGGACCTCACTTCCAGCTTCTACCTCATAGGATGAGGGTGTCGACTCTATGACCGCTGGCTCCATCTGTACCTGAGGTTCTGAAATAAATATTTTTTATTAATAAGTATCATACTTATTTGGTCTATAATGAATTTATGATCGCTTCAATAAGTATTTGAACTCATATCTCAAATCCAGGCTGATTTAATAATATTAAGGCAATTGTATTTACAAAAGGAAAAATATCATAACAACACAGTTTTCGTTAGTGATGCATTGTCCGAGGAACATCATCAAATGACTTCTACCGCCCAGGGTAAGGCGAGAGAGAGTGTCAGACTTTTACTGACTAAAAACCCCCCGGTTCCTTTTCCTGCTTTAGGCCGAGGCCGAGGTGCCACATTTAAGTGTGGGAGAACCAAGCTTCGGCACGAATGGGTCGGCTCGACCGGAGTGATAGCACGGCCTCACAGAATACCGGCGTGAAACAACCCACAGTGTTGTGTTTCGCCGTGTGAGTGAGGTTCCCTTCCCGATCCTTATATCCGCAACCCCTATCCCCAAAAGGCCGGCAACGCACTCGTAACTCATTTGGTGTTGCGGGTGTCCATGGGCGGCGCGGATTGCTTACCATCAGGTAATCCATCTGCTCGTTTGCCGACTTACAAAAATTGCACCCCGCAACCCCGAATAAGGCCCTGAGCTTATGTATTAGCGCGGCAAACTAGCAACTCTGCTCTCGGCGAACATGTCCGTCGCATTACACTGCCAGGGCAAGTTCATCATGGCCCGGAATGCATTATTATATTGTACACGAAGATTGTTCTATGCACTCCTCGTGGAGCGGTACCAGACTTCACAGACAGAACAACGTCAACGTACAGGATAGTTTAAATGAAATCCTTCCCCTCCCCCAATCCCAATATCTCCAAACCCCTAATCCCCAAAAGGTCGGCAATGCACACGGAACTCCTCCGTTTTGCAAAAAAATGGTGGACAAAAAAGGCAGTATTGCATCCATACCTGAGATTCCATCAGTGTCGTTCATGGTGTCATCATCAGTAGCCTCATCACCAAGCAAGGGGTCGTCGTAGTTGACATCATCGGCCGCCTGCCGACGATGCATTGAGTGAGCTTCTGTAACAAGAAAGAAATAATTAATTAGTTTTTGTATTATTTAAGAGTATTTCAAACTACTTTATCTATCTATATACATAAAAATGAATCGCAAAATGTGTTGGTAAGCGCATAACTCAATAACGCCTGGACCAATTTTGCTAATTCTTTTTTTGTTGTGTTTGTTATTGTCAGGAGAAGGTTTTTATCAAAGAAAATATTGGAAAAGTGGAGGGGAAGATTAGGAAAAAGTGACACTTTGATAGCGAGATAGTTGGACCCGTGTGAAGCGGGGGCGGGCCGCTAGTATATATATAAAAATGAATCGCAAAATATGTTGGTAAGCGCATAACTCAATAACGCCTGAACCAATTTTGCTAATCCTTTTTTTTGTTATGTTCGTTATTATAAGGAGAAGGTTCTCGAAAGAAAACTTTAGAAAAGTAAAGGGCAATAGCGGTAATTAACAACCCTTTCAACGCCGTGGCCGTTCGCTGGGTCGTCGGGTACCCGTGCGAAGCAGGGGTGGTCTGCTAGTCTATATATAGGTATATAAAAATGGATCGCAAAATATGTTGGTAAGCGCATAACTCAATAACGCCTGGACTAATTCTACTGATTCTTTTTTTGTTATGTGTGTTATTGTCAGGAGAAGGTTCTTATGAAAGAAAATTTTTGAAAAGTAGAGGGGAAGATTAGGAAAAAGTGACCCTTTGATAGCGAGATAGTTGGACCCGTGCGAAGCGGGGGCGATCCGCTAGTATGTATATAATAATGAATCGCAAAATATGTTGGTAAGCGCATAACTCAACAACGCCTGGACCAATTCTACTGATACTTTTATTGTTATGTGTGTTATTGTCAGTCGAAAGAGCTTATGAAAGAAAAGCAATTTTTGAAAAGTACGGGGCAGAGTTGGGTAATATGGACCCTTTCGTCGTAAGCGAGATGATGAGACCCGTGAGAAGAAGCGAGCTGCTGGTTTTGTAATAAGACAGTAAAAGTTAAAGTAAATGAAACAACAACAAACAACCACAAACAACAAGAAACAATAGCAACTTGTTGTTTTAATAAAGTGACTCCATGCTAAGTAAAACGTATTTTACTTCAGTTACCATAGTTATTTCCTATTGGTATTAGTAAATAGATGTTGTGTGGTACAAGTGATAAGCTTTATAAGTTTTTCGCTGAACTTTAATATATGTATATAGAGGGAACATTGATACGTGTCTGTCATGTCTTAGGATTTATTAAATTGTTTATTTGTTTTTATACTATATACATTTTTATAGTACTACTAGCGGCCCGCCCCCGCTTCGCACGGGTTTAACTATCTCGCTATCAAAGAGTCACCTTTTCCTAATCTTCCCCTACACTTTTCTAATATTTTCTTTGATAAGAACCTTCTCCTGACAGTAAAAAACACAACAAAAAAAGAATTAGCAAAATTGGTCCAGGTTTTGTTGAGTTATGCGCTTACCAACACATTTAGCGATCCATTTTTATATATAAGAAGATGTATATTTACATTTTATATATTATTATATCTTTATACTAGCTCTTGTGCGGTCTTTATTAGTCGTAGCGTGTCTTCGGTCCTTTATGCACCTAATCTTCCTTGCTATGGACTATCCAATACAAAAATAATTGTTCGATTCAAACCAGTAGGTTCGGAGATTTGCGCGTTCGAATATATAAATTTATAATATTAAGTAAAGATAAATTACATTTCTCTTCTTTGCGCAGCATGTTGTTATTATAATTATATTTTGATGTTAGTCATCCTCTTTTAACTTAAGCCACACATAACATTAAACCAGTAATAGTTCTAAAATTGTTTTCCAATTGAATACTGTTTGCTTTACCATTTAGGGAGGCATGTTGCATGCGCCTGCGCAGCTCGTGACATGTGCCGGTAGCATGTGCGGGATTCGGGATTACTGACATATTTCAGTATTAATGCAGTTTCTATGGTTAATAGAATGATGGATAAAGTTTTGTATGGGAAAATTGTCAAACTACCTACTTATTTTTTATGGGATTGGATGGGAGTTTATATGCGGCCGTGGTATACCTAACGTTAACGCAGCCGGCAATTCGACGTTTTTTTCATCCTCATCATCATCATCAGCCTGATTTCGTTCACTACTGGACATAGGCCTCCTCAATTGCACGCCACGCCCATTGCTGGCCTATGTCCAGCGACATTCTTTAATCATCATCATCATCAGCGTATAAGTGCCCACTGCTGAACAAAGGCCTCTTCTCATACGGAGAAGGTTAGAGCATTAATCACCACGCTTGCTCAATGCGGGTTGGCGATTTCAAACTTGTAATTAGAAATTATAAGTCCAGGTTTCCTCAAGATGTTTACCTTCACCGTATGTCAGTAGTGTCTAAATAACCATAGAAAGTACATATAACTCGGAAAAAGTCACATTGGTACTTGCCAGGTTTCGAACCCACACCCTCATGCATGAGAAGCGGGCGCCTTAACCTCCGGGCCACCACGACCGACATTCTTTAATGCTAATTGTAAAAAAAATGTTAAATAGCCTACAGTAAAATTCCTTACAATTACGCAATAAAACTCGAAATGCGACACTCATATTAAACTCAGTACCCTCTCTTTACCGACAGTTATAATAATATTTACCTACCGATTACAGACTAACACAAGTAAGGAAGTGCACTCAATACGGATAATTACAGGCGAAACCGGGGCATATCAATTAGTGTGATTAACGGACGGACGGACGGACAGTTTTGCGGTCGGATTATGGGTCAGTTAGACTCGTACCATCTGTTTTTATAGCCTATTTTTGGCTAGTGAAGGCTATTTCACACAGTAATAAGGTAGACGAAATATAACACCTATCCTGAAATCCTATACAACTTACTGAAGGCCGACAAAGTCCTTGTAATTCCATTGAGATGAGGATTCTCGCCTCAAAAAAGTTTTTAATACTTTTTTCATTACTTTATTGTAATTTTAAATTGACGAGTTTTCAATTGACATTTTAATGTTTCAATTTACATTCAATGTTAATTAGAAATGATTAAATAAAGGAAATTTCAAACCATACGATTAACAATAAAATTTGAATTATAAAAAATATAAAATTAAATATCTTGGTGTAGAAGAACCAATGTATCCATTTGTCTGAACTTTAAAAAGAGACGAAGAGACGGACCTCTGAGTTTTTTTCGGCCGACGGACTCGTCAAAAAGGAAACGCTGGCGTCATCTACTTAAATATTTTTAAGTAATGTTTAAGTGTAAAAAAGTATTGTTTATTGTCCATTTCCAGAAATAAATTAATTATCACATTATTTATAACTAACAAGTGTGTCGTGGTGGCCTGGAGGTTAAGGAGCCCGCTTCTCATGCATGAGAGTGTGGGTTCGAAACCTGGCAAGTACCAATGTGACTTTTTCTGAGTTATATGTACTTTCTATGATTATTTAGACACCACTGACATACGGTGAAGGTAAACATCGTGAGGAAACCTGGACTTATAATTTCTAATTGTAAGTTTGAAATCGCCAACCCGCATTGAGCAAGCGTGGTGATTAATATTAATGCTCAAACCTTCTCCGTGTGAGAAGAGGCCTTTGCTCAGCAGTGGGCACTTATAGGCTGATGATGATGATGATGATGAACTAACAAGCTTTCAACCGCGGCTTCGCCTACGAGGTATGTTCATAAAAAGCAGCCTTTGTGTTAGTCCAAAGTACCTATCATCTATCTACATACCAATATTCAACGAAATCAGTCCAGCCGTTTTTGAGTTAAAGAATAACAAACATACATCCATACATTTCATAAACTTTCACATTTATAATTTTAGTAGGATTCTCCCAAGTCCATTACTTTAATGGCGTCCCTACCTACTCTCTCTACAAATAGCAACCGTGATACAAAACGAATTAAAACAAGGAACACATCGCAGCGTGTACAAAGGAAACAGTCGTGTTCCAAGCTGCGCGTGCGCCGGTTTTTTAAATAAGCGGAACCAGTAAACAGTTGCGTAATAAAATGTCTTATTTCCATACTGATTGAGTTTTAAATTCAATGACTTGAATATTGATTGTTTTTTTTTAATTCGTCCGTGTTTTTCAGTTGGGTTTTGTAGATGTAAGTGTCGTCTTGCAAAGAGTTTCAGGGTTATTTGTGACCTTATTTTACTGATTATATATGACTGAAATCATAGTTTAACTTTACCTAAGTCCGTTATAGTATAAATCTGCACATCACCTAGCCTATAAGTGCCTCTTCTCACACGGAGAAGGTTTGCGCATTATCCACCACGCTCGCTCAAGGCGGATTGGTGATTTCAAACTTATAATTAGAAAATATAAGTTCAGGTTTCCTCACGATGTTTTTCTTTATCTTTAATTTATTTATTTATTTAAATACTTCTTGCATACTACCCAATTAAGGCATTTTCTTCCAGTCTACATTACGTTACTTTTGTCAAAATATAATTAAAATTACTAACCTTTCTTCATAGATTACCCTACAGTATATGTCAATGGTATCTAAATTAACTTCAAAAATACATATAACTTGCAAAAAGTCATATTGGTACTAGCGAGTCACATTAGTTTCGAACCCACACCCTCACTTATGAGAAGCGCGCGTCTAAGTAATTTAAAAAAAACAAATATCAATCTATAAACATTGATAAATCAATTCTGAATTCACATCTTTAAGCTTCTAAGAAAATATCAATTACTACAGCTTAAGCTATTAGAAATTTCTAAGCTACTTAACAATTATATGCTTATGTTATTAATATGCGGAGCTGTGGTTCGACAAGCTGACTTGCTGGCTAACCCCTCATTGGTATTCCCGCTGTAGGCTATAGCCTCTGTAGCCACGATGGCACTCTCTGAGTAACAATAACCTTCTACATTTTAGCCGAAGACATTTGAATGGATTATGTATAACAATGTTAGTTTTTGTAATGTAAATACAGTTCTTTGTGGAGAAACGAGCAGTGGAAGCCTGATGGTAAGCAATCAGCGCCGCCTATAGACAGTAGAATAGTTTGCAAGAGGTTTTGGGGATTTAGGTGTTGGGTAAGAAGTGAGGTAAACGGGCAGACAGATTACCTTTTTATTTTTGTTTTTGTGAGGGGAAAATCATCAAATGACTTCTCCCGCCCAGGGCCGGGCGGGAGGGAGTGTCAGACTCTTACTGACTAAAAACCCCCCTGTTCCTTCTCCTGCTCTGGGCCGAGGTCGCGGTGCCTCATTGCGCTTACCCCGCAACCCCGGCTGAACATCAGCCCTATGGGGCCCCGTCTTACCGTCCCCGTCGGCCCCGTCGTAGTGGTCTATATACAGATTACCTGACGGTAAGCAATCAAGGCCGTTGAGAGCCTGCAACACCAAAAAAGTTACGAGTATGTTGCCGGATTTTTGGGGATTAGGCTTTTGGATATTTCAGGATTGGTGAGAAATGGGGGCAGGAGAAACGATTGGGCCTTTGTGAACCTCACTTACACGGCGAAACACAACGCTGTGGTATTTTCTGTGAGGCCGTGGTATTAATCATGTCTGAGCGATCCATTCGTGCCGAAGCTTGGTCCTCCCATACCTACTTAACTAGCTCATAAAAGTGTTGCCCTATATTAATATTTATCTAGTGCATAGAAGTTATACAAATATCTATAATATCATCAACTTTCTAGGTATCGTGTGACCTAATAACTAGTAGAGGTCAATCCAATAAATCAGCCATAGACAACTAAATGCCAGACTGCCGTGTTAATCTGCCATAAATAATGGCATATTTATGTCGCACTCTAGCCTCTATGGTCTAATTTGTAAGCTAGTCTATGGTAATCAGGTCATGGACACATAAATTCGTCCGCGCGACCTTTTTAATTAATTATTGCAATTAATTTGCAACGTTTTATGTCGTTTATGGCGCTTAGATAATCCTTTGTATTTTTTTTAGATTGTTTTGTTTAGCTGTCGTATTTTGAAGAGTTTTCGAGACCAGATTTTTTTTTATTTTTTTTACATCACATTATCAGCCTATAAGAGCCCATTGCTAAACAAAGACCTCTTCTCACACGGAGAAGGTTTGAGCATTAATCACCACGCTTGCTCAAGGCGGATTGGTGATTTCAAACTTGTAATAAGAAATTATAAGTCCAGGTTTGAGGGGTAAGCGCAATGAGGCACCGCGACCTCGGCCCAGAGCAGGAGAAGGAACGGGGGGTTTTTAGTCAGTAAGAGTCCGACACTCTCTCTCGCCTTACCCTGGGCCAGAGAAGTCATTAAATGATTTCCCCTGACAAAAAAGGTTTCCTAACGATGTTTTTCTTCACCGTTTGTAAGTGTTGTCTAAAGTCACAGAAGTACTTGCCAGGTTGGCAAGGAAATCCGCACTCTCATATATGTATAAGAAGCGGGCACAATACCCACAGGGCCACCACGACTAAATACCTATATTTATAATATAAATTGCTTTATTTACTATTCTTTTTTTAAATTTTAAATGCGTGTTTGAATATAGAATAAGTAATCGATAAATAATATTATGATACTTTAAGGTCATTTACAAGTTTTAATAAATAGGTTTTATTAGTAACTAAGTAGCTTTTTTTTCCGCGACTCCGTTCGCGAGGAATAGTGACTTCCTGCAGATTTTTGTCATAAAAACTATTGTATGTCCTTTCTCGAGTTCCAAACTATGTCTGTAGGTACAAAATTTCACAAAAATAGGATTAGTAGTTTAGGCGCGAAGAAAAGACAGACAGACAGAGTTACTTTTCCATTTATAATATTATTCATCATTATGAAATTTAGACCGGACATGAAGCAAAGAGTGATCACAATGTGTAATAATAGATATATTACACTAACATAATATTATTTACACAGCTGTGTGTACTTGTGTTGGATGGATTATGTAAATATGAAGAAATAAGG